GGAGACAGCGCCCCCACTGTCAGATAACAATAGAGAGGTGGGAGGAGATCCCTGCATCAGCATCATGTGGATGTGAGGATCAGTACTTTTTTTTTTTTATCATTCAGCCCGCTGGTTGAAGGATAAAAAAAAAAACACAGTGAGTATACCCTGCTTAGAATAAAAATGCAGACTATGACCCTAAGAACAGCATCCCTACAGTCAAGCATGGAGGTGGAAACAATATACTTTGGGGCTATTTCTCTGTCAAAGGTACAGGCCGACTTTGCCGCATTGAGGGGCCAAATGGACGGGCCATTGTATTGTAAAATCTTTGGTGAGAACCTTCTTCCCGCAGCCAGAACACTGAAGAAGGGTCGGGATGGATCTTCCAGCATGACAATGACCCAAAACATACCGCCAAGGCAACAAAAGAGTGGCTCAAGAAGCACAGCCTAGCCAGTGTCCAGACCTTAATCCTATAGAAAATTTATAGAGGGAGCTGAAACTTCGAGTTGTCGAGCAACAGCCAAGAAACCTTAAGTATTTACAGAAGATCTGTAAAGAAGGGTAGACCAAAATCCCTACTGAGATGTATGCAAACCTGATAACCAACTACAAGAAACGTCTTAACTATGTGCTTGCCAACAAGGGTTTCTCCACCAAGTAGAAAGTCAAGTTTTGCTTGGAGATCCAGTACTTGTTTTACTCACTGAACTGCAACTCAATTTATAACATTTGTAACGTGTTTTTTTTTTCTGGATTTTTGGTTGATATGCTGTCTCTATCATTTAAAATACATCTATGATAAAAATGATAGATCCTTCATTTCTCTGTAAGTGGGCAAACTTACAAAATCTGCAGGGGATCAAATCATTTTTGCCCTCACTGTGTTGAATGCCATTTTCACATCAGGATGAGATTTTAGCAATTCATTTTAGAATTGTCTTTATATATAGCTAACTGAAATTAACAATATAAAAAAATACAAAACCACTATACACTCTCTACGAAGGCCATGTTATTTTCTCCACTAATGATATGATCTCCTCTGATCCTTTGAAACATTTGTGCACTAGTCAGCAACTGCTAATAAAACCCCTTTAAGGAAGTTTATGAAAATTTTGGAACTTTTTCACGCTATAGAATGATATAGAAAGTTCTAACAAACAAGATAGCTGAGGACCCTAAAGAGGCCTATAGACTGAAAACAGAGCCCTTGCTGCCGGAGACAACAGCAGCTTATAACAGTGCAATTAACTGCCATAAAGGATAAATTATGCCATTGCTCAGTAAAAAAAAAACCTATGGCTTCCTGTTGATGTACAGTATACATAAACTATCATCAGCTTGACCAACCTTGAAATTGAACACGCCTTTTAGTTATCAGAGACAAATCTCACTGAAATTTTATTGCTTCTTATCTAGACAGAAATCTGGAATTTGAAGCCATTTTAGGAAATGGTTATTTTGCAATATGGTTTTAGGGTAGTTAGTGTAAAGTAGAGAAAAGATCCAGGATACTTCATATGTAGGAATATTGCTTGCTTCCTCCATAAAAGCAAATACCTTAGTTGACAAAACTAGCAGAAAAAAAACAAAACAAAGCAATGATATGCAAGTTCCCTAGGTGTTCAGAACGTTTCATTTCCCATTTTTTTCCAATGCACATGGGCATCAACAAGTGTGATTGGCAAGCACTTGTTATTTCTAATGAGCAATTCTTGATGCCTAGGACTGAAAGCCTGTACAATGAAAGACAGTGTCAAAGTGGCTGTTTCACCATTGTGTACCTACAGGCTCCCATAATGTTGGCAACAGAATGGGAAGAGGGTGCGGTACATTGCAGAAACCACGTTCCCTGGTTCAAGCCCACAGTTATCACAGCAATGCCAAGGGATCTGTACCACCATTGTTAAGTATAGGTAAATCCAAATTGCTAACATCTCATATGATCCTTAACTTTAATATATTTTAATATATATTTTTAAATCTGAACTTTTCATTAGCATATTTCCTAGTGATCCTTATTTAGGCACTTCCCGTTCAAGGATGACAACTGTCTGTCCCTGTGTCCCAAGTGTTCTCCTGCCTTGTCACTATCACTACAAGTAGCTTACTTATCACACAGCATAGGTACGAGCAACTGATATCACCATCAGGAAACATGCCAAGCTCCATCGCTGCTTGAAAGGGTGACAACGTAGAAGCACAATTAAGAGGCCAGGGAAAGAATGTTGTTGCCTTACAGGAAGTGACCAAACAAGGACCTTCATTTTAGTGACTGTGTTTACATATAGTTAAGAGGCAACTGTAAGGCTGCTTTTACAGCAGCCTGTTCCACATCACTTTGGGGCACAAACATCACTATGTGGTCTGAGAAAACCTGAAAATCTGCCAGAAAAAGTAGGAGTCTACAGTATATGATGAATTCACAAGGCTTTAACATGAGGATATGGATCTTTGGATTTTTAGCCACATAGATTTTAACATCTATTGACACAAACCAGAAAATAGTTGTGTGTTAACTTTATGAATTGCGTTTTATCCTACTTCTCGTAAAACAAAATTTAAAAAATACATACTTTTCCTGTGTCCAGCTGCTTCTGGAAATCCTCCATAGAATCTGTTACCACCATGTGGCTTGTCAGATCACCGAGTGCCCTAAATCAAAGGCAAGAAGGATGCAATCAAAAGAGCTTTGAAAAGTTTTACAAAAAAATAATACAATCACAATCAATAAAACTAAACACAAAACCAACCCACTCTGTGCATAGGAAAGTAGCAGCTTGAACTTAACATGAGAGATTAATGAGGTATTAAACCCAAAAATGACTGAGACTTGCATCAGCAGAGACCCGGATATCACCTGGAAAATTTTTGAAAAGGTATGAATTGAAAGACCTGGTGGTGGCTTTGCAGATCTGTGAAATGGATGCTTGATGCTGCAAGGCCCAAGAAACATCAACAGATCTGGTGGACTGGGCCATGAGAGGGAACCCATTCTTTGAGGGCATAAACCCTGGAAATGAACTGTGTCACCTAGCTATGGTGAAAGAGGAAGCAGGTTGACCCATCTGGACAACCATAGGCACATTGTCCTTTAGAGCCCTTGCCAACTGTTCCCTTAAGAGGCTTTCATCCAAATAGCCCACTTTAGGATACCTCAAGAGTGTTAACACTGAGGCCAGTACATTGGTGACCACCCAGTGTACAGAGAACAGGCTGAATAGAAAAGCCACAAACTGATAATGCAGAGGCCCCACCGCAATGCACAAAAACATCGGATGTGCTGGAAAGACATGTACATGTAAATAAGCTCAATGATGTCCACTGGGTCCAGAAATTCTCCATAGTAGGGGGAAGAGATGACCGATCTCTGTAATTCCAGTGCAAATTTTTTGTACTTGAAAAAGGAAGCATATAAAACCCTGATGTCCAGGATGGGGTGAACACCTAATCTGGGCTTGGGAACAGTAAACAGTTAGGAGTAGAAGCTCTGTGGCAAAGACTGGAGCAAGGACACTTTGGTAAGAGTCCACAGAGTGTCCAACGGAGATCAGTAAGACACTAAAAGGGACACAGGGAGTTTGGAGGTCAGTCAGCAAGCAAGAAGAAGAGGGAAAGGGAAAAACTCAAGTTTGTAACACTATGACACCACCAGGGCCCCTAGGCACTGGGGATGCAAGCAGTCCAAGCATCTGCAAAGGCAAAAAGGCCCCCCTTCCCCACAGGAAAAAAAGCACTTAGTGTTTTATGCTGAGAAAGGCTTGTCAGTGGGTGTGGCAGACTCATCCACATGGCCAAATCAGCAATGGCCCGCAGGTATCTTGTGGAAAACACCGCCCAGATTCCAGGTGCGTGTGGACAGCCATGGTCGGGAAGCCATGACAGGCTGCAGCTTTGTACCAGTATTCAGAAGTAATTCAGCAGTGTGAGTGATTACCTGTGGTTAGGGACAGATGAGGATTTCTGGACGCAAGCAGCTTGTGTCCAGGGGCAATCATCTGTTGTCAACTGTAGGTAATTGCTCCCTGAGCAATTACTTCCAAACACTGGCAGACAGCTATTATCAGGCTGTCACTGCTTTGTATGAACAAGGTAGCTCACAAAAGAAGACCAAAGTGTTGAGTGGTCCTAGCTGCCTAAATCTAACCGCAGGTGGGCAGAAGGAACAGGTCAAAGATCAAAGTTCTACACTGAGACAGGAGGAGCAGTGGGGAGATGCTTCTTTAATACCATTTTGGCAGGAAAGGGAGAATGAAGTGTGCGCACGTGTAACACTCCTCCCTACTGAATGACATCGGTGCTCAGTGCCACAGCATTAACCTCTTCCATGGCTTTAAAGCACTTAAAAACCCGTTTAAAGGATAAGTTCACCTCTTGAACAAAAATAATAAATGCACATTTGTTTGAACATAAAAAAAGTGCATTTATTATGTTTGTCCAAAGGAGCCTGGAAAGCATTTCACCAGTGATCAGTAGATCACTGATGCCATGCAGGTCTCCTGCAGACCTGTCAGAATATCTGCTTGCCGTACGGGATGTATGGTCAAGCAGATGTACTGACAGGAAGCTTCAATGAACTACCACAGTGCTGCACAGCGCCGTGGTACTTTACTACTGTACAGCGCTGAGCAAACCCTTTGGCGCTATATAAATACTGTATAATAATAACTACAAGCCAACAGCCGCTAAGATTGCCGGGACTTGTAGGCACTCATTCACAGAACACAGTTTTCAAACTTGACAGATAGTAGGGGGGAACTTCTCCCCATATTATCTGTCAGAGGGAGGGGGGCGGCGGGTGCAGCTGCAGCTATGGGAACATGTTACATGTTCCACCATAAAAACGGGTGGAAAATGTAACATGTTCCCAAAGGTGAACTTATCCTTTAACTGCACATTACCACAATGCATAAGTATAAATGGGCCCTGTCAAGAAAACTCATCAACTCTGGACACCAGAAACTTCTGATCCAGTTGAAGCATCTTAAACATGGAAATCACAGACAAAAATATTACCTGTTGTAGAGGTTAGTGTGAATCTCTTCCAGAATATCTTTTAACTTAGTCTCTGCTTGGTCCTCTGTGATGGTCAGTTTCTCTCCTGTGTCTCGTCGGACTGCTACAAACTGGTTACTTTTCATATCTCTAGGGCCGACTTCAAGCCTGATAGGTACACCCTAAAAACGAACATATCAAAAAGTTTGATCTCATTAAAGCCCAACTAAAGACTAAAAGCTTATTTTGCCTTGGCTAAAGTGGGCAGGGGTTAGAGTCTTTGTCAGGTGAATATTGCAGCCTGTGACCCTGTTGGGAAGTTTTACCTGTACTTCCTGTTAGAACAAGAAATGATGGATATTGTTTCCAGAAAAACCAATAACACTTTTTTCATAGAATGCCATAGGTATGAACCTCTGACAATGTCTTTATTGCTGTAGGTGCCCTTCTGTTCCAGTGACAGCTACACCATTTCATGAAAAACACACAAAACTAAATAAAAAATAACCGTCTGGACCTAGACTTTAAAAAAGAATTTTGACAAATACCTTGAACAGGGTATTCCTTTTAAAGTGTTGTAAACCTCAGACATGAAATATGAACAAAGCATATCCCTCTGTAGTGTTTTTGTTGCAAGTGTCATTTCTGCCTGCCACTTCTTTCCTCTGATATCAGCATGCGTCTCCTCTGACAAGTTTTCCTAACCTCAAGAAAAAAAAAATGGTGATAGGGGAGGGCACAGCCTCAGCTCTGTACCTGTTAACTGTGTGAAGAGGGGTGTGTCCCCTCCCTCCAATCAGCTCTGAGCTCTTCACTGAGCTCTGCAGTTTTTAGCTCTGTTCTCCCCCCTATTTTTTTTAGGGCTTCAGATAAACAGGTACAACTTATGTAGTAGGATTTGTTTTTTAATCTCTGTGCATCATCTGAATCCAGTCACTTCACTGGCTATATGTAAGGCTTTACAATCATTTAAGCTGCAACATTATAATAATATGACACTGATATTCTTTGATTTATAAAATGGACTCGGTTACTTCCCCCAATAAACGTAAAAAGCTCTCTGCAACAGAAGACCGTGAATACTCGCATCCATAGCAAGCAGCCAAACCTCCTCTGTCTATCCAAATATTCTCTATCTGTGGCTTCCAGAAAATTCTTCAACATTTGACATCTCTGAGTGTTAAATGCCTACATCCACTGCTGTACACTGTGGTTCCACAGACTCTCCTCAGCTTCAGAGGTGTGATAAGTTGGGTCTCAGCAATGGTAGTTATTGCTGCGGAGCGCTTTATGCCCACAACTGTAAAGTAATCAGCACCCCCATCTTATGCTGCAAAGTGTCCCTAAAAGCAGCTGCTAATACTAAACCTTTCCAAAATAGTAATTACTATACATATGTTCTAGACTCCACCTGAAAATTCCCACACTGTACAAACATTATCTCCTATGTGCACCCTGCCAGCCCATCCCTTTTTCAATACTTGTTTCTTTGCCGACATGTCAGGTTCTCCTCTGTGGTGAAACTGGAGATACTAGAAAAATACAGAATATACAGGGGAGGACCATCTCCACTACTGACAGGTTTTCCCTTGAAAACAGCTGGGTACTTCCCAGTATAGAGAAGCATGCAGCTCACTCCATGTGACAGCACCAGGTCATTCATCAAGCACCATTGCTGTCACAAGGAGAGATTCTGTGGGGCCGTGAAAGCCTCAAGCCACAAAAGGGGGTGGGGGGGGTCATTTGTGAACTTGTTGCTTTGCCCTGCATAGACATAGTACAGGTCCCACGTTAAGCACTGCATCAATTATCAAATAAGACTTAACCGATGTCCTCCCCATAGAGCCCTGCATCCATAATACAGGTTTTTGGCCCAGATCGATCTCTTATGGTGGAACAAGGGAGATGCTTTGCTCTCTGTTAACCTAGGGCAGTGGTGGGGAAACCTTTTTTTTCAACTGAGCCAAATCTCGCCAAAACCACGATTGAAATTTATTTTGAGAGCCACATTTTCAAAACTGAAAATACATAGGATGGTACACTGTTTTTAGTTTCAATAAGTTTTTATAGTAATTCATCCCCCATAGTAATTCATCCCCCATATAGTAATTCATCCCCCATATAGTAATTCATCCCCCATAGTAATTCATCCCCCATATAGTAATTCATCCCCCCATATAGCAATTCATCCCCCATATAGTAATTCATCCCCCATATAGTAATTCATCCCCCATATAGTAATTCATCCCCCTATAGTAATTCATCCCCCATATAGTAATTCATCCCCCCTATAGTAATTCATCCCCCCTATAGTAATTCATCCCCCATAGTAATTCATCCCCCATAGTAATTCATCCCCCATATAGTAATTCATCCCCCATATAGTAATTCATCCCCCATATAGTAATTCATCCCCCATATAGTAATTCATCCCCCATAGTAATTCATCCCCCATATAGTAATTCATCCCCCATATAGTAATTCATCCCCCATATAGTAATTCATCCCCATATAGTAATTCATCCCCCATATAGTAATTCACCCCCCATATAGTAATTCATCCCCCATAGTAATTCATCCCCCCTATAGTAATTCATCCCCCCTATAGTAATTCATCCCCCATAGTAATTCATCCCCCCTATAGTAATTCATCCCCCATATAGTAATTCATCCCCCATAGTAATTCATCCCCCATAGTAATTCATCCCCCATATAGTAATTCATCCCCCATATAGTAATTCATCCCCCCTATAGTAATTCATCCCCCCTATAGTAATTCATCCCCCCCTATAGTAATTCATCCCCCATATAGTAATTCATCCCCCCTATAGTAATTCATCCCCCCTATATTAATTCATCCCCCCTATAGTAATTCATCCCCCCTATAGTAATTCATCCCTCATATAGTAGTAGTAAGTAAGTAGCAAGTAATAAGCCAAGACCCCCCTGTGTCAATTCACTTACCTTTGCTCCGCGCGTTCCTCTCGCCGTGTTCCCGCGCCGTTCCGGTCTTCAGGGCGGACTGTGAGAGGAGCCTAGCTCCTCTCACGTTCGTCACGCTGCCCCGCCTACACACATCCTGACAGCCAATCACTGGCTATTAGGATGTGAGTGGCAGCGAGACTGGCCAATCATTGCATTTGAGCGCGCTGCCCTGGCTGTTTTTTTTTTTGGATCACGCTGCAGAGTCCTTGCCGCCCGAGAGGAGGGAGGGGAGCGGGCGCCCGGCACACAAGAGCCGCATTAAAGCGTGTAAAGAGCCGCATGTGGCTCGCGAGCCGCGGCTTGCCGACCACTGACCTAGGGCATATATAAGTCCAGTGCTGATGTGGGAATACCTTATGACGTCATTCAGACCAGACTCCCTGGCCGGCTGCAGTCTCTGCTCTGTGTTCCCTGACACCAAAGCTTAGACTCCACTAGTGACTATGGAGTCCGTAAGTCCCAGAAGATTTATGTGCTGAAGATATCAGCAAATCACAGGGTGACATCAATAGTAGGTGCCCCACTCTTGCTCCACCAGACAACTCTAGACTCCAGGTCTGTGGCACAAATGCCTAGCCCCCTCATGCTCTCCTCATTTTGCCTCGATTGACTAAAATATGTCCAGCAGCAACAGAGGGAGCCTTTATGAAGAAAATAAAAAATGTTGCCATGAGGAGCTGCCAACATTACCTGCCACCCATGGCACTGGCTCACAGGTTACAATATTAAAAATATGGGCATGGCTGTATGGGGTGCTCTGGGAGGGGTTAGCATAGAACAGAGACGTAATGTACTGGCACTTCCTGAATGTTGGTTAATCCTGTTTTTTCTTTTTGCCAAAAACGGTTTACTTTGAAACATCCGATATTATTTATTTATTTATTTCAGGTACTTATATAGCGCTGTCAATTTACGCAGCGCTTTACATATATATTGTACATTCACATCAGTTCCTAACCCTCAAGGGGTGTACAATCTAAGGTCCCTAACTTACATTCATACCTATATTAGGGCCAATTTATACAGGATCCAATTAACCTACCAGTATGTCTTTTGAGTGTGGGAGGAAACAGGAGTACCCGGAGGAAACCCACGCAGGCACAGGGAGAACATGCAAACTCCAGGCAGGTGGTCCCGTGGCTGGGATTCGAACCAACGACCCTAGTACTGCCAGGTGGAAGTGCTAACCATTTAGCCACTGTGCTGCCGATATCTATGAAAACCATTGTTTTCCACTCAATTCAGTGCAAACAATTTGTTCAATAAAAAGGATTGCTAAGATACTTCATCTGCAAGTGAACGCCAATGTTTAACCAGTCTGAGCTTAGCATATTAATCAGTCACACATAAAGTACAAGGAGTTATTGCTTTTATGGTATGTTTTAAAAATATATTATTTTTACAGTTCATTATGGCTGGATGAGGAAACCATAAAGAATAATAAAAAGTTCTGTCTTATGACAACAACTTATAGATGTTCAAAAATATATTTATTTTTGCTATGAATAACCTCAGACACTGAAAGAGATGAATGGATGGTACGAATATGCAGCATCACGCTATAGCCCTCACCTTAAGCTCCCAGTGGTTGAACTTCCACCCAGGTGAGTAGTTGTCACGCAAATCTGTTCGTGCTCTGATGTTCACATTCAGAAGGCGTTTTAAATACTGATTGCATTTCTGCAGAAGGGCTTCTTTTTCTGCTTCAGGTAATGTGTTCGTGATTCCGCATGGAATTACAATAATCTGTTAGGAAGAAAAAAAGAATTATAAATTAAACCAAGATAAACCAAAAGTGTACAATCAAATGCAATCATTATACAAAACATTTATATCCTAATGCAAAAAATAGATTTGTAGTTAGTGGTCTTGCCAAGGTCTTCAATTTTTTATTTTACTGCAAGCAGAACATTTTTAGCATGGAGAATTGTATGTTTTCTTGGTGTGTGCGGATTACCTGCAGGTACTCAAGTTTTCTTTCGCAATCCAAAAAACACACTGATAACTGCTTCAACTGACTAAAGCTGGCCAGAGATGGAGCAATTTTCACCCATTGTGTTCACCTGGCAGAGGAAGCCATCCCCACCGAGAGAAAATAGTGATTATTGCTAGCGGCTATAACAGTCCCTAGCAATAATCACATGTAAAATCCAACAAGTTGGTTGTACCCAAGTTGATCGATCAACTTGGGTACATTCAGCATTCTCATACATGGTTCGAATCTTGGCTGGCCCCTGCCGAATCGCCTGAGATTTGAACCATTTATGGCCGGCTTAGGACTGATTATAATACGGCCCTTAAAAGCCAACTTTTTTTTGTAAACAAGATGTCAGTGCCGCTCTATGCATTATTGTACTAAGAATTCCCTCATATAGCAAAGGCTTCCACTAAATGTTTTTTCTTTTAGGGCCAGTTCAAACTACATGCATTTCAGTGTGCTTTTTTTCTGCACCCAATGCATCCAAACATGCACAGAAAGTAGGTTATATGGTGGTCAATGTCATAGTTCACATCAGTGCTTACAGTTCCAGTGCGTTCCGAATGCAGAAAAAAAGTAGAGCAGGCTGCATTTTTCCTGCACAGAGCTGTACTGGAACGCGGTAAACTGCACCAAAAATGCACATGCCCCTATTTAAATTGAAGAAAAAGGGGACAAAATGAACTAGAACCACGTCAGAGACATGCATGCAGAAATGCATCCAGAACGTATCTAGACTGTGTTTATATAGTGTGAACCAGCCCTTACGCTGCATCAACATTCCCTGTATTCATTTAGCCATAAATGAGAAAGAAGAGAGCCAACATGTAGTGGATTCATATGGAGACTTTTTAGGTACCTTATTTCTCAATAAATCAGCATTTTATCTCAAATCCATCTCTCCTTATTAAATATTAAAAAAACTTTTTTTTAATAAAGTATTGCACACAATATGAATGCTGCTCCAGTGCATTATATGTTATCCATAAACCTGTACATCATATGACATCTGATATTTGGACTCCCATAAAATAATGGCTTATGGCTATATATCATCATATTCTTTCTAATGCAATGTGTTAAACCTTAACATCTTGGTTGATGGGGAGCTTGGGCTAGATGACCTGCTTCTTCAGAAGAAACACAGAGGCAATATACAGTAGATTACAGTTTAAGAATATAACTCATTTTATCACATTAAGTTTATACATTGTTGCAACCATTGTCTTTTTATACTGTGCTGTGAAAAAGTAATTGCCCCCTTCCTGATTTATTTTTTTTTGCATATTTGTCACACTTAAATGATTCAGATCATCGAACAAATTTTAATATTACACAAAAGATAGTCCAGGTAAATACAAAATGCAGTTTTTAAATGATGATTACATTTTATAAGGAAAAAAAAAGCTGTGCAAACCTGGTTTGCCCTATGTGAAAAAGTAATTGCCCCCTAAACCTCATAACTGGTTGTACCACCTTTGGTGGCAACAACTGCAATCAAGCATTTGGCAACGAGCCTTTCAAATCGCCATGGAGGAATCTAGCCATATTGGAGGGTTTTCTAGCATGAAAGGGCTGTTTAACCCCTTGACGCCAAGTGGACGCATATTTGCGCACAATTAGAATATACATATGTGCTGAGAGTGCGCGCCCTGCGCGCTCCCAGCACATATGTCCCTGACTCAAGGAAAGGTCCCGATGTTCCCTTTCGATCGGGACCTTTTTCGATCATGTGACCACCGTAATGGCGAATCACTGCGGTCACATGACCCTAAAACTCCACCTGGTGCTAAGAGGTTAAGATCAAGCCACAGCATCTCTATCACATTTAAGTCCAGCCTTTGGCTAGGCCACTCCAAAACCTTAATTTTATTTTGATCCAGAGGTGAACTTGCTGGTGTGTTTCAGATCATTGTCCTACTGCATAACCCAAGTGTGCATGAGCTTGAGGTCACAAACTGATGGCTGGACATTCTCCTTCAGGATGTTCTGATAGAGCACAGAATTCACGGTTCCAACACTTATGGCAAGTCATCCAGGTCCTGAAGCTGCAAACCAGCCCCAGATCATCACACTACCACCACCATGTTTGACTGTTGGTATGATGTTCTATTTATGAAATGATGTGTTAGTTTTACAACAGATGTAACGGGACACACACCTTCCAAGTTCAACTTTTGTCTCTTCAGTCCACAGAATATTTGCCCAAAAGTCTTGGTGACAATCAAGATGATTTGAGTTATTTTTGATCAGCAGTGGTTTTCACTTTGAAATTTTCCCATGGATGGCATTTTTGCCAAGTCTATCTCTTACTGTTGCTTAATGAACACTGACCTTAACTGAGGCAATAGAGGCTGTAATTCTTTAGACGTTGTTCTGGGTTCTTTTATGACCTCCTGGATGAGTCGTTGCTGTGCTCTTGGAGTAATTTTGATAGGCCAGCCACTCCTGGGAAGGTTCACCACTTTTTGCCACGTTTTCTCCATTTGTAGATAATGATTTACTGGAGTCCCAAAGCCTTAGGAATGGCTTTCGAACCCTTTGACGGATACATGTCAAATACTTTGTGTCTCATCTGTTCTTGAATTTCTTTAGGTCGAGGCATGATGTGCTGCTTTTTTGAGATCTTTTAGCGTGCCTCACTTTGTCAGCTTCTAGTTAAGTGATTTCTTGATTCAACAGGTCTGGCAGTAATCAGGCCTAGTGTGGCTAGTGAAACTTAGCTGAGCTTTCCAAAAAAAATGTGGTTAATCACAGTTCATTCAAGTTTTAGCAAGAGAGGGTTGCAATTACTTTTTCACATAAGGCCAGGCAAATTTGCAAAGCTTTTTTCCTTAATAAATTAAATCATTTAAAACCTGCATTTTGTATTTACTCTGGTTATCTCTGTGTAATATTAAAATTTGTTTGATGACCTGAATCATACACAAAAAAAAAAAAAAAAAAAATCAGGAAGGCAGCAAATACTTTTCACAGCACTGTATAACTAACTTAGCACAGCAATAGCAACGTTATAACAATCTCATAAAATCCTTAAACAAGGAAGGGCATTTGGATTATTATTATACAGGATTTGCAGCATACACGCATCCAACAGGTAGCCGACTGAAAAAGAGGGTTCTGTTTTTAGCAAGACCCTCCTATTTTTTGTCTTCGGACATCTCGGGGATACATAGTAGAGGACACCCAGGGAGTATTACATACGTTTGAGCAGTTCTATCAAGCTCTTTATTGATTGCAAGGAGGGGTTTCAGATTCTGATATCTCCTTGTATCTCTCCTCTATTTTATTACCTAGATTGCCCAGGGAAAGTAGTAAAGCATTGGATCAGGCCATTACAAATGATGAGATTGAAGGCCAGTTCACACCACAAAAACGCACTCCGGATACGTTTTTGCTTACAGTTTACACCACATTCCGTTCCGGTGCAGTTTGCTATGTTTCAGTACAGTTCAGTACAGAAAAAATGCAGTATGGTCTACTTTTTTTTTTTTCTGCACAGGAAACTGACTGCACTGGTATGAACTAGGGCCATTAGAATACATGGACTACACTGTGCATTTTTGATGCAAAAAAAAAATGTGCTGGACTGCATCTGGTGTGAACTGGCCCTTAGGCTGCAATTGCTTATTTTGCCCCTCAAAAGTCTCCGGGATTGGATGGCTACTCAATTGAGTGGTATCAAACTTATAAGGAAATGCTGGTGCCTTGCTTACTCAGAGTATATAACTTAGCTAGACATCAGGGAAAACTACTACCTTCTATGAGAGAGGCATTGATAGTCTTATTACCTAAGCCGAGGAAAGATCCTCTGGAATGTGAATCATATTGTCCCATTTTGAAGGAACATTCCTGCATATGGTTTGGGACTGTGCTAAAGTCCGACCACCGTGGTACCAAGTTATTCAATTTATAGCTGACCTTTCGATTTGCCAAACATTTTTAGCTTGCTAATTTGCCTCCTGGGAGTAATTGAGGATGATATTATGGATAATGCCATGAGAACCTTTTTGAGATTACTATTCTTTTATGTGTGTAAATTGATAGTGTTACATTGGACACGAATAGATGTCCCTGGCTAAGCAGCCTGGAAAAAACTGGTGAATTATAATGTCCCACTATATGAAATGACATATGAAGCCAGAGGATGTCCAAAAAATTGTTTTGCAAATCTGGTCTAGATGGATAGAATCCTCAGATAAGGTGGAAGACAGTCCTGGAGTGGTATCATTGGTGTATTGTGTGTGATATATGGACCATTTGTCCACTGTTAAATGAGGCTATTTGATGCACTGGTAAATAATATCATAATGATGCTAGCACGTTAATATGTAGGGGAAGAGTAGGAGTTTACTCTAAAAAGTTTGGTTTCAAATCTCTTTTCTTTCTACTTTCTTTTTTTCTCTTATTGTTTGAGTTTTCTTTTCCTTACTATTCAGCAACCTCTAATTGCTGTATTCAAAATAATACATACAAAACTGCTATATGTACTTATGGTATCCTTATTACTATACACAGTATGGCTTTGCAGATAACATTCAACTGGACATTTGGCTGCACCACATTGTGCAATGTCCTGTTATGACTGGATAATACTTGTGGAATTGCTTTTGTCTTTTTTTTTTCCTTTTTGTATATTTCCTTTAGGATTCTGTATCGGAAACTGTGTTTCAAGATCTGTTACGCTGTATATATTTGTGCATATGGCAATAAACCTCTTTAACCATTAGCCGCCCGGCCAATGGCCGTTTGGAGGCTTCAAAAGTGCTTCGGCATTCCTGGTGCACACCATTTGGCGTGCTCCCGCACATGCGCAGTTTGCGCTAATGCAGAGCCGCGCAATCTGTCACCGGCCGTGTACCTCGGACACGGCCGATGACAGATCTGAGTACCGGCCCCCGTTGCTGGTACCATGTGACCTGCTGTGACCAATCACAGCAGGTCACATGACAGTTGTATACAATGGATGGCTTCATTCATGCCATCCATTGCATACTAGTGCCTAGCTGTGAATGGTCACAGCTAATCACATGCACATGTCATGTTATTAGCTGTGACCAAATCACAGCTAAGCACAAAAAAAAAAAAAAAAAAAAACTGAATGAATCGATTTCATTCAGGTAAATGCTTGCTTATAGCAAAGTAATTCTTTGCTATAAGCAAATTGTGTAAAAAAAAAAAAAAAAATTACTGATCACTTCCCCAAAGTAGTACAATGTTACTATGGTAACATTGTACTACTTTGGTCATAGTAAAATATGAAAAAAAAATAAAAAAAATGTAATAAAAAATTAAAAATAATAATAAAAAAATAATAATATATATATATATATATTTTTTTTTTTTTTCATACTGTCACCAGTCAGTGTCCCTGATCACCGCCATGCCAGTTATATCATGATGCTGTACTGCACTGGTGACAGTATGTAAAAAAAAAAAATAGTGAAAATACTTTTTATTTTTTCATTTTCCGAAAAATTATGACAAAAAAAATACAACTTCAAAAACTCGCCATGCCTCTTATGAAGTACGTCGGACTGTCTACTCTGTAAAAAGTGGTCATTTGGGGGATATCTGTACTATTCTGACATTCTTGGACCTCAAGAAATTAGATTGGACGTCAGTACTTCAGGATTGATCAATATTCAGACCTATACCATAGTTTGTGAACTCTATAACTTTCCTACAAACTAAATAATACATCCTAATTTGAGTTATTTTCACCAAAGACAAGTAGCAGAATACATCTCGGCCTAAATTTATGAAGAACAATTATTTATTTGTAAACTTTTATAACAGAAAGAAAGAAAAACGTGTTTTTTTTTTTTTTCAAAATGTTCGGTCTTTTTTTGTTAATTTAGCAAAAAATAAAAACCCCAGCGGTGATTAAATACCACCAAAAGAAAGCTCTAGTTGTGTGAAGAAAATGATAAAATTTTAGTTTCGTACAATGTTGTATGACCGCGCAATTGTCATTCAAAGTGTGAGAGCGCTGAAACCTGAAAAATGGCCTGGGCAGGAAGGTGTAAAATTGCCCGGTACTGAAATGGTTAACAAGAAAAAAGAAAAAGAGGGTTCTGGCTTTTAGCCACAAAATCCTGCGCACACGCACATTGATACGGGACTATATAGATTAGTCCTTTTAAAAAAGATATACTGTAAGTGGTTTATTATGCTTTGTGACATGCCAAATGATATGCCAATTTAGACAAACCGTATATGCAGTAAATAGTATAATGTTTGTATAATTCGTTTTTTCCTTTACTGAATTTGCAATTTGATATCAAAGGCTCAGTACTCCTTCTCTTTGGATTTTTAGTTAACTTGTAAAATCCTTTTTTTGGAGTGCGTCACAGGACATAGGGTATCTTTAGATCAATTACAATAGGGGTTGATACTGCCCCTCTCAGGTGACTGGACCAGGGGCGGACTGACCATTTGGAAACTCGGGCACTGCCCGAGGGCCCAGGGTCAGTAGGGGGCCCCATGAGATGCCCCTGGTACCTTTTTCATAGGCTTTTTTGAATTTGGGCAAGGACACAGGGGCCCCGTGATTCCTTATTGCCCGGGGGCCCCATGAGTTGTCAGTCTGCAGCCGGACTGGACACTGGCAAAAATGACAGGAATATCACTCCCAGGCATTATCCTTTTTTTGCCAGTGTCCAATCAGCTGAAGGTGGCAACATAACCCTTTCCTAATAGATATAAAGATAGCTTGTGTCCTGGGATGTACGATGAAGGAAAGCTTTTCTTGCACTACCTGGACAGAGTTACAAATAGGGATAAGCTCAGCAATTTTTGGACATGAGTCTGAACCTGCCTGAGCTATCCTGCCAGGAAGCAGTCATTGTGGACAGCCAATCATAAGTGGCAGATGCATTCCCAGCTCCACAACCACTTGTAAAGGCCGTGTCTGAACATGCCTGAGCTCATCCCTGTTTACTAAATAGACAAGTGTTTACCCTTAACTGCTTCCCGTCCGCCCTATAGCAGAAATACTGCTACAGGGCGGCAGGGGTGCGCAAAATTATGTATGTATACGTGATTTTGCAGTTCCAGGTAGGGGGCGCATACGCGTGGCCTCGGCTGTCAATTACCGGGTCCCGGCCGATGATTACTTGCTGACACCCGGTGATCGCTGAGTATTACCAACGGGAGAGAGAACTGTATGTAAACAATACAGTTCTCTCCCCTGTTAGTTCCTGCACATTGCTTTGTATGGCTCTTCATAGCAGAGCCATACAAAGCAGTGTGCTTACAGTGGAAAGCACACACACCGCATACTGTGAAACAGCACACAGTTAAACCTTTAATCGCCCCAGATGTTAACCCCTTCCTGCCCAGTGCCATTAGTAAAGTGTGAGTGCTTTTTATTAGCACTGATCACTGTATTGGTGTCAATGGGGATGTCAATGACACCAAGTCAGTTCCCCCCAGTGCCAGAATGCCCACCGCAGGACCGCTATAAGTCGCTGATCGCCGCCATTACTAGTGAAAAAAAAAAAAAAAGTTCCAGTATATATACACCGCCATTTGTAAACGCTATAACTTTAACGTAAACCTATTAATTTACACATATTGGGATTTTTTTTTTTCAGCAAAGACATGTAGCAGAATACATTTTGCCCTAAATGCATGACGAAATTTGAATTTTTAAATTTTTTTATTGGACGTGTTTAATAGCAAAAAGTCAAAATATTTTTTTCACAAAATGTTTTTGTTTATAGCGCAAAAAATAAAAACTGCACAGCACAGCGATCAAATACCACGGAAAGAAAGCTCTATTTGTGGGGCAAAAAAAGGACTTAAATTTAATTTGTGTGCAGTGTTGCATGACCACGCAATTTTCAGTCAAAGTAACGCAGCACCGTAACGCAAAAAATGGCCTGGTCAGGAAGGCAGGTAAATCCTCTGGAGGGAAAATTATTATTATTATTACATCGAGTTTATATAGCGCCAAAGGGTTTGCTCAGTGCTGTACAATAGAGGGGGGGGGACAGTACATGAAACAGTACAGCAACTACAAACAGCACACGAGGGGTTAGAGGGCCCTACTCTTTCGAGCTTACAATCTAGGAGGGAGGGGATAGTGGTACAAGAGGAAATGGCTGTGGGGGATGGAGTGGTAGGAGGAATGAAGGAGAACGGCTGTTAGGTGAGGGAGGGGTAGGCTTCCCTGAAGAGGTGGGTTTTCAGGGAGCGCCTGAAGGTGAGGAGGGAAGGTGACAGTCTGATGGATTAAAAAAGTTGAACTCCAGGCAGATATAGAAGGTATTAATCTATGCAGCTTTGTATTTATGAACACATCTAAGAATTTTTTTTTTTTTTTTTAAATCAAGCAGGGTAAGTACATGCATTTGACCTCGTATTAGCCTCTTACAATCCACTGTACAGCAAAGCTCAGAGTGGGAGAGGGAGAAGCAGCACAAGCAGCCAATTAGATATTCTACTGTGCACATGTGTTAACAAGCAACATTTTGATAGGAGGGAAAAGCTGAGTGACAGAGTGAGAAACCCATCAGTTTGCTGCTTCTCCTTTCACTGTCCAGTTACATGTTGTAGGAGAGATCGAAGTTACTTGATTGCAGCAGAGAAAAGTCATGTCTCCTGCCCCTCCAAACTGGGCTGTGTTGTGTAGCAGAGCTGTGTAAATTTCAGAATGGGTGGACAGATAAACCGCTCCTTAATGTGTATTTAGCCGTTTGCCTAGAGGTCAACTCTAGCCCTTTTCAATGCCAGGGGATGACTTCCATTATATACTGCTGATGGCCAAACCAATCGCTCCACTTTGGAGACCCTGCCTCCATATAACTTTTAATAACACCTACATAAATAACCAGCCAAGGAACCAGGTCTTAAAATGGCCCTGTATATATAAGGTGACCCCAATGCCAAAAATAAAAAAAGACACAGGCACTTCTAACCAATCACTTACCTGCACACAGGCCACTCGTGGTGGCAGCACAAGGCCCATATTGTCTCCATGGACCATGGTCATGACTCCTATCGTTCGGGTGGTAAGACCCCATGAGTTCTGGAAGGCATACTGCTTTTCACCAGGGGTTTTTGGATCTTCAAACACAATCTCAAACATTTTGGAGAAATTCTGTCCAAGGTGATGTGATGTTGCTCCCTGAAATGAGGAGTCAAAGCCATGTTAAATTTTAGTCACACAACCATTGGTTTCTAAATTAAACTACATAGCAGTGTTGCCACCCCCTGTACTACATGGCCATTAATTAGTGGAAGTGTATAATTATTTTTGCAGAATAAGGATATATTTTATGGTCACTTTATTGCCCATCTAATCCCAAAAACACAAATTTCATAATTAGAATTTTTCTCTTTATTTTCACCTGGTAAACCTGCAAACAACACACTTTCTGTCCCTGGGTGGCTACATTCACTCCTCACCAGTATCTATGGGAAAGACTAGGGAAGCCTCCCAGGCTGGACTACAGTTCATGCAGAAAAGATATGACTGGTACCAACACTGGACAACATATCCTCTCCCCTGGTACCCACTATACTTATCTCTGGGGTTGCCGAGCTGTCAGCACCTCTGCGGCCGCTCCAGAGGTCTTGGGATTTGGAATCCCCGTTCTTCCCATTCTTCTCCATCAGTGCTTCTGGCACAGACCAGATCTAATCTGGCTGGTCAGCGTAGTCACATTGACAACGCTGACCAACCAGAATAGATCTGGTCTGTGCCAGAAGCACTAATGGAGAAGAGTGGGAATTTCAAAACCCAAGATCGCTGGAGTGGCTGCAAAGGTGATGAGAGCTCGGCAACCCAACGGTAAATACAGCGAGAACCAAGGGGTGGGGAGGGTGTCCAGTGTTAGCTCACTTTTGTATTTTTTCTAACCCTTTAAGCTTAAAGGAAGTGGCATCTTACTAATCCTTAGATGTGGTGGCTGCATTTGTTTTCAGGTTTTGGCTTTTTCACCTTTGTTTTCACTTGAACGGTCAGTAACACACTTGATATATTAGGATGGCTATGCTCTTGTCTTCACTGTATCAGTGGAGCCACTTTGTCTGGGACAAAATACATTTTTAGTATTTAAAGATGGTAGCGTTGCATGGACTAGTGGATATAGATGGAGTTTACAAAAGTGACTCACAAATTACAGAAACAGTTTTTTTTATCTTTTGGGAAAAAGATTTTCACTAAATGATTAAAAGCTGACCATTGTAAAGACCCCTGTCAGTATTAAATCATTTGTCTCATCCCTTTATAGGCCACTTTTGCTGGTCTGTTAAGGGAAGTTGGAAATATCACAGACTTAATGGCAGTATCAATAGGTTAAAACAGCCTAAAAAAATGCAGCCACCACAAAGAAGAACTGGTAAGCTGCATATTAACTTTTTATTTTTGGACTTAGATATGCTGTTAGCCCTTACAGTTGGTGGAATACAATATTTTCCACAACAGAGGACCTTTAACTATTCCCCATTCTATCCTAAACTGTAAGAGTTGCTACTACTGGAGCTAGACAATAAAAATAGTTACACCACAAGTAGTAGTAACATTTGGTCCCATTCTGATCTACGGCAGTGTAAGGAAATAAAAGCACATCTTTATATCTGTTTGTGCTGCCGTCAGCTCCACCCCAGACTGAAAGCCCAATTTATAGAGGTTTCTATGCGGGAACTACAGCACAGTAGTCACCATCCCTTTACTCAGATTCTCACTGTGCAAAAAACTGATATATACTGCTGAGGTATTGCTCCTGTCAAACACAACGTTTTAAACAAAGTATCACTGGCATATGCTAGAATAGTGGACTGTCTAGAGTTATTTTTACTCCAATTTTGAGGTGGGGGTTAATTGAGAGAAATATCAGTTTTAATTTTGCATTCATGAGCACTGTGAATCATGTTCCCCATATGTATTATCTCATAACTCTGCATTTATTATTATGCTTGTTGACTTGTTACGTATTGTGCACTGTGTATACTCTGTGTCCTTGTGACCACAGCCTGGTAATACTTCCTATAAACGTGCAGTAACCAAAGCGCTTCATCTTTATGCCTGCTCAAGACCATTCAGGATCTTTCCCAATTGCTCTGGTTCTTTCTATGCCCACTGCAGGTAGTTGTACAGTTCTCACTTATAACTCAGCATTTATTATTATGCTTATTGACTTGTTACGTACCGTGGACTGTGTATGTTCTGTGTCCTTGTGATGACAGTCTAGTAATACAGCCTACAAGACTTGCAGTTACCAAAGAGCATCATCTTTGGCCTGTTGAAGACCCCTCAGGATCCCACCCACCTGCTCTGGCTCTTCCTATGCCCAGTGTTCTTGTGAAAACAGCTTGATTACAAATTGCAGCCTATGAGACTTCCAGCCACTAGGGCACATTACCTTTGTGCCTAGTGCAGACCCCCAGGAGCCCACCTGCCTTCTCTGTCCCTTCCTACACTCAAATAAGGAACAGAAAGGCATGTGTGATGGAAGTAGAAGAGTTGGCTGAAACAAGCTGTCCCCCACTGCAGTACCAACTGCTGCTAAAGCTCAATAGAGCTCTGCTGTGCTCCAGCATCCCGTCTGCAACAGATAGCCCCCGTTAATCTGCATCCCTGCCTTGTCTAGTCCTAACCCTTCTTCTATATTGAACCTAGAAGAGTCAATGAGTTTTGGTGATATTACTTCTTTAATGAATAGGTCTGAATTTATATAGCACCCAAGCCTGTTTAGTTCCTCTTGTCAGATCAGTCCTACTCAAGGGTCGTCATAAACCACTAAAATAGGACCTCCTTGCTGTGTACTACTTTGGTGCAGTTTGGACCAACCACCTGTTTGTACTCACCTGTATGGCTCTGCCACTGGCTGATATATATGCCTCAACAGTAGTTGTATAATCGCCTCCTGCAAACTTTTCCTTCTCTGTCTTTCTTCCTTTCACTACAGGAATAGCCAAGAGGTCCTCATAAACACGGGCGTAGAGATCCAGAATCTGCAGGACCTGCAATAGAAACCAGATTAAGAAAAAAGTAGAGCTGAACTCTAGGCACATATAAAAGATGTTAATTAGTGCAGTTATGTATTCATTAAAAAGTCAACTAGCATAAGTGTGAAGTACTTAAATATGACTTCATTGAGCAGCATTTTTACAGCCCTACCCCATAACCTGCAAAAGCAGTGGAATGGGGCTATGCTCCACAACCCAGTTGGAAGGTAGGCTCACCACCCTGGACATTGTATTTTGACAGCTGCACCTGCCATTGTCAGGATAAACTGAACAGCAGCTGTGGCCACTGGTCCAGAAACAATTTACAGGATGTCCCTTTGACAGAAGTTTATCAAATATTAGACTTCTGTCAACTGGGGACTGCTCTACTCTGATCAAAATTCACCCAATTATGGCTGACCGGGCTAATTCCAATCACTGCATAGCCAGTTTTAGCTTTAAGATTTTCCCAAACCAGAGGTGTTTGACAAGATATGGGACACTTTAGATCAAGGATGTTAAGATTTAAATGTTGGTTGTCTTTTTTGCAAACTTCTCACGCGATTTGGTTTATTGTACCCGATATAGGCCCTGATTTTTTTATTGCCGTTATAATGGACCATTGTTTGTTTTTTTGTCTCCATATGAAAATCAATAAATATAACTTAAAAAACAAGTGCTTTCCTTCTAACTTTTGGAAAGCTTTCAAAACCCTGGCCTGATAGGTGGGACAAGCCAGATCTGACAACTGCTCCAAGTGGTAGGTAACCCTTAAATACACAGCCTGCTGCAGACTGTTAGTAAAAATGCCTTGAGCTGGCTAGGTTTAATAAACCTGAATCCAGATCAATCTCACAATCAGGGTACAAAAAGTATTGAAGTGTACAAGGACTCTGGTTGGCAGCTCACAGTCATGATGATGCCTCTTGAGGGCACATTGGGGAAAATTCATGAGATACAGAAAAATAAGAAGCATTAGACAATATGTTGAGACTATTACAAGCTTATTTGATCATAAACTGTTGGAAGGGCGAGCTAACATGTTTTTGAGGTTCTAATGAGCCCCCTAATCATGGCTAAAAGCAATGCTCATCATACATCTAACAAAACGGCAGCTATTAACATCATAATATTTCTTACAATGCAAAGAACCAAAGAGAAGTCTGGCTCAGTGACTGAAATAACCCGCTTCTAGCTCTATCCTAGCTCAAACATTTATTAAAGCAGCACAAGATGCCAAAAGACCGAGCCTGCTCCCTTAGCACAACAAACAGTGAGGTTAGAAATTACTAAGTGGATTTATTAATGGAGTTTTCAACAAATCGGAGCAGTACAGGATGTCAGCTTGGCTTGTTTCACTACAGTCTTATGTTACAGGCAAGCAAAGAAATAGGGCATCAGACTGGTTGTTTATTAGTAAAACCAAGTCACTCGTGTAGCAACATTTTCTGTAAACTTCCAGTGCAAAAGGAGCTGGAGATATTTGTATTCAGACTTGCTTGGAATAAAAAAAAAACAACAAAAGTTTGGGGGAGAATAAAAATGAAGCTCCTTGTCTACTAGAGTTCAAGCAAATCTCTGCTTATATGACCCTAACGGAATGAGTTCTTCTGGGGTGAAATGAGGACATAAGACAGCTGGATTTAAAACTAAGGACAGGTAAGGGTCGGTACAGTGTGTTGAGGGTGCCATCCAGAGGATAGCTAGAGGAAAGCAACTACCTTCTTTTAGTTTCTTTCCCACTTTATAGGATAATTTCATCTTTATTAAAAATAATAATAAATGCACATACATATTTTTATATATATATATATATATATATATTATATATATTTTTTTTTTTTTTTTTTTTTTTTTTTTTTATAGGAGACTGCACCTGCAATAAGTGCATTGCAGGTGTAATATCAGGCTTCAGCAGACTTCCTACAGCTCTCTGCCCATACCATTGTAGCAAGCAGAATTATTATAAAGTCAACTTGGCCTGGCTTAAAGTGTTTCTAAAATAAGGTCCCTTTCACCTGAGTGATCCAATCATATCTGCCTGTCAGTTTTTCAGGAGGATCCAATTGGACACTTAATTCTCCTCCATGGAGCGGAAGATGTAAATGGGTTCGTGTCCGTTTACATCCGCGTAATTCCAATCTGATAAACAACAAACAGAAGGGGATCTGTTCCCTCCGTCTGTCTGGGTCGGATCGGAGAGAGTGGTTGGGTGTAAACGGACAGCCGGTCCGTTTACATCAGACTACCCATAGAGCAGAGTGGGCTGTGTCCATACAAGGACATGTCATCTGCCTGCTCTGCTCAGCAGGGGATCAATGGACACATATCCCCTGCTAAGAAAAATGGATTTGGCTTGTGTTAAAAGGGACATTACTAACAAGTAACTGTGGTTAGATTTTGCTTGTTCAGCCCCATGAGAGATCACTTGATTCCCCTGCCTAGAGTAAAAAGTGTGGATGGAACAACCTCCCCTGCCAGCTATTGTATTCAGATAGCTGCAGCACCTATGGCTGTCTGAATACCAAAACAGTGACTGCATCTGACTGGCTGCAATCACTGATTGGCATATAACTTTCTGCCCAGCTTCAGCAATTTGTCAATCAAAGTTTATTGACCTGGGTAATGCCAACAGGAACACCCAAGGTCCGAATTTCGGCCAATTCAGCAGGAATCAGCAAAATTCAAACAATGCCTTATTCTTCATATAGATTATGGTTTCCCCATGCAGTCCCCTGTGGATCTCAGGCCCCTGCTGTGATTGGAGATATGACGTCTTACCAGGTCAACAATTAATAAAAACTCTGCAGACTGTTACATACCTCCTCTGCTGCTTCCTCATATGTAGCAAAGGCAGTATGTCCCTCCTGCCACAGGAACTCACGGGTGCGCAGGAACGGCTGGGGGTGCTTAAACTCCCATCTCTGTACAAGACAAAACAGTTTTGTTTAGTACATGACTCACAGATATTACAGAACTACCTAAACTAAAGTATGGATAATCTGACAAAAATGATCACATTTAAATTGAAGATATGTAGATCTGCACTTACCACAACGTTGCACCACTGGTTAAGTTTGATGGGGAGGTCTCGGTGAGACTGAACCCATTTTGCATATGCGGGATACATAACTGCAAAAGAAAACACAAAAGTGTGTATATTTTATATACAGTGGTTTATGGAATGTGCTGCGTTACAGCTGAACTCCCAACTCCAGATAATATCCTTACAGTGAAGGGGCAAAATGAGTACGGGAAAAAAAGATGAAATACTTATTACCCCTCTGGCCGTTGGGGCTATTCTCTTCTCTCCGATGCTCCAGGTTGTGGACAGGCCCTCACCGTCTTCATATACAATGCAAGACTATTGGTCATGCATTGGATGAGATGACATCAGAGTGCAACTGCCGGTCCAAGCACCTTAAAGAAGAGGCTTGGAGAACCAGTTGAATAGCGTGCAGGAGTGAGGAGTTAGGTAAGCATTACATCTTACTCCTGCAACCCTGGACATAAGAACATTTAACCCTTGTAGTGTGGGAAGGCTCCGCTGCTGGACTATTTTTTTCTTGTGCTCATTGTTGCACTTTAATTGCACTATTTTTTTTTTTAAAAAGTACTAAAAGATTTGTTTAAAAAAAAAGCGCATTTACCATTCTTGCCCCCTTTTCCCTGACCAAACCTAACCACCTTCCCCATTTAAAGATGTGTATTTACCTTGAACTGATAGCTCTGGTTCTGCTGTTTGTTTAGATCCAGCAGTGTAAGTCTTCACAGTCCTGACCATGCCTGCACATTAGTGCCCCATAGACTTCATAAGGTTGTGTCCTGGGGATGGAGATGATTGCAGAAGGTTTCACAGAAGTTTATAGTGATGCCTTATGCAGGCAGTAACCAGGACAGTGAAGACATGTGGCACTGGATGTACACAAACAGCTGATCTGCAGCAGTTTGACCAAGGCAAGTATGCACCTATAAAAGGGGAAGGATGGGTTAGGTTAGGTCAGGGGAAGGGTCTCTAGGCCCTCTACATTCCCATATCACACCCTCTGTGACATCAGATACTGTGATGGGGCCTGATATCCTGGTGTTTGGTTGGAGTATAAGATGAGAGTATCTGAACAAGAAGATATGTCACTGGAGTGGAGCAAAATCGTGACCCTCAGTACAGCACCGAGGAAAGGCTCAGTTGCAGAAGATTCCGGTGCCCGGTGTTACAACATTCAGCCCTTGGAAAAACTGTATACACAATACTAACTTGCTGCAACTATTAAAAATGCATTATCCAGTTTAAAATATGCCCATGGTATGCCCATGGTCAGTTTCTTTTCATTGTTTTAAGCACACTTGCTACCCAAGTGTTCAGCCCTGTCCAATTAACTTACCAGTTTCACTTGTGGGTCGAACAGCAATTGGCTCAGCCAGTTCCGTCTTTCCTGATCTGGTAACCCAAGCCACCTGCAAAAAAAAAAAAAAAAAAAAAAAAAAAAAAATCGAAGCAATCTAGTTAGCAATAGAAAAACATAAATAAACATAACCAGCTACCTGTCAATCAAAAGTTGGTTAAGGCTAAGCTCCAAGCTAATAGCCAAATACAGAGATCAAGTATACACAAGGGAGCTTCACTGCCTGTCAAAGCATTTGTATTTCTGTCCATCCAGTCTTGAGAATTACACAGTACAGTACAGTCCTGTCTAGCAGGGCTAGAGACCCAATTGTTCTGCTTCAGTTTCCCTAGCCTGTGACTGGACAGGGAAAAGAGAAGCACTGCTTATTAGTATTCAAGCACTTCAGCACAACTGACTGCACTGCTTTCCCCTTTCCCAGTCTCTGAGCTCTGCTGTACAACAATACCAAGTCAAATTCAGGTACTTGTGCTGCTTGCATTTAAAAAAAATACATCTAATGATTAATTCACAAATACAGAGCTATATTCGTGTCTTCTTAATCTGTCAATCAGGTTATACCAACCAGGCATTAAAACCATCAGTTGACATCATTCGTCAGGTTATGCATTTTCGGCACTGTGCAGGCTGCAATATACCGATTGTCTCCCTGACTAAAGGTACATTTCTATCAGCTTCCTGAACTGGATGGAAGTGCATTGTACAAAATGCTTCGCTTCATCTGAGAATTCACCCAGAATTACATTGTCTGAGAAAGACTTTATTGCTACAGGTATAAGCCTTACTGCACTTTTTTTGATCACAAACAATGAAGCTAAGAAAGCGTGCAGCTTACATATTTTCAATTTGATCTTGTGTTGTGCCTGAAGTTCTAATTTAAAAGGTAATGTTTATGTTTCTTAGGTTTCCTTTGGTGGATACTGTACATGCTTTATTCATAGTGGACACCTCTATGCACAGGTAAACCAATAAATCTGTGTGTAATTTTCATCTTTATTTTAATGAAAATGTTTTAATTACATGTAGCAATCATAATTGTGTATTACTTACACTGCTGCTTCCTGCTTAGTAGTACAGCACAGTGGTTGTGCTTTACTGCTCCTGTCCTCCAGTGCAAGTCTATGGGTCATGTTTGACTGATTAGAAACAATGCACACTCTGTGTGCTTGAGATCGTATCACAGTGGTTGTGCTTTACTGCTCCTGTCCTCCAGTGCAAGTCTATGGGTCATGTTTGACTGACTGGAAACAATGCACACTCTGTGTGCTTCAGATCGTATCACAGTGGTTGCTGATCAGGAGTGAAATTAACAAGATACAGCAAAGGACAGTCTATACGGTATATAGAAGCATATGATGTATGAAGCTCAATCACGCTGATCCTGGGATAATTCTGCTGGAAAATCGACACTTCAGGAAGTGTTGAACTCCCTGGGTTCCCTGTAGCTTTCACTACTGACCAACACATCACAACTGTATCCTGCAATGGGTGGAGGTCAGAGGGAGAAACCAGTAAGGCTAAGTTCACACTAGCGTTGTGTGCAGGCGGCAGAGAGGCGTTTGGGAAGCGTTTTTACCGCTTCCCAAACGCCTCTGACAATTCTGCACATTGCAGCACATGGTGCTGTTCTAACGGGAGCATTAGCGTTGCGGCCAAATTGACGCCTCTGGTCAAGTCAGGAGGCGTTGAAGCCTCCTATTCTAGTCTATGGTGCCGCTCCGCAAACGCCCCCGGCCAGCGTTTGCGGCGCGGTTGCGGGGCGGTAACACCATTTAAACTTCATTATAGGCGTTTGCGGAGCGTTTTTATTGTTCGGCAAATGCCTAGCAACCTCCGCTAAACCGCGCATGCGCCGTTTGCGGAGCGTTTGCCGAGCGTTAAAAAACGCTCCGCAAACGCCGGACCAACACTTGCCAAACGCTATAGGGGCGTTTGGCAAGTGTTGGTAAAACAGTTAAGTGTGAACGAGCCCTTAGAGCTGTAGGGGACCAGGAGATTAACACTCCCTGAGCCAGTTCCCAGCAGACTTCAACTGAAAAATTCTCAGAATCTGCATGGCGTTCCTTGGGGCAAGTTAAATATATACAGTGTTATGGCTTGGCTTTATACATTTTGTATAGTGAGAAGGTTGCTTTAGAGTGTAACTGTACTAAAAGAATTATGGGCTGCCATTGCCAACCCTTTGAAAATGCTAGTCATCTAGCAGTCTTTGGCTTTACTGTAGTCACAGCCTTGTAACCAGTGAAGTCAGAACTCTTGACCTGGGTCAGAGGACTCAAAAGTACTTAAGCCACTGGATCAAAAGCCAGACAGCATTTACAGGAAAGAAAATCAACAATAGCAGCCTTTGTATATCCTCTAGTACAGATTTTCTTCTACACAGCCCACATTCTTTTGGGCTGCACCTAAAAATGGGTCTACTACCAAGCAAAATCTACAGAAAAGGAAGTCGTCTTGCAGCCAACACAGATCAATTCCACCTTTACCTACCTCTGGGGCAAAGTCAGCAATATGGGTTTTCTCTTTCTCCAAGGCAGCCTGAGACACAAACATAGGGAAGTAGCAGTTTTCCACTCCCAGCTTCTTTATTTCAGAATCAAAGAAATTTTTAATGGAGTCCCAGATGGCAAAAGACCATGGGCGCAATACGTAACACCCACTGACATCATAATATTCAATCATTTCTGATTTTGTGATCACCTGTGGGGACAGGAAACTTGTAAATGCAGAACCAGCAGAAATATATGCCGTATAGCATTCCGGTGCCTAAAATGGAACTTAACTCTCTCAGTCAACACTACCTAAACCTTTATTTCTTATGCTGCTACTAGCATTAGTAAATAGATAGGGAAATGTATTATTATTATACAGGATTTATATAGCGCCAACAGTTTGCTCAGCGCTTTACAATAGAACGGTAGACAATACAGCAACAATACAATTCAATACAAGAGGGAAAAGAGGGCCCTGCTCCTTGGAGCTTACATTTACTTGTTTTAAACGTTCTTTATTATTTGTATTTCTTCAGTTTCCTGGACTAGGCCAAAATGATGCCATACATCCCATGAATCTTCATAAGCATTTTTTTCTTTCATCTGGAGGAGGAGCTTTCTCAGCTAAGCATGCCCTCCTGTCTGCATGCCTGAGCTAATGGCAGCTGGATTCCAGGAAGTAAATGCTACATGAATCATCTGCCATTACTCAAGATGGTTGCGGCGAGAAATGCTTCAAAGTGATTTCTCAACAAAATAAAACATGGAGACATGGATGGATGGGGGAACTTGCTTTGAATATTAAAAATGATTAAATAGCATTTTCAGCTTGTGGTGCTCAGATACAGTTAAAGCGGAATTTTGCCCTCTCAGTCAACACTGAATATGTTTATTCTTATGCTGCTAGCATTGGTAAATGGATAGGAAAGTATATCATATTTACTTGTTTTAAACTTTTTTTCCTTAACATTTCTTCAGTTACTTCCTTGTTTCGAAGGCAAAACTATGTCATACATCCCAGGAGTCTACAGAAGGGAAGAAGGGGGTTTTCTTAGCTAAGTAAACCCTCCTGCCAGCATGCCTGAGCGAATGGTAGATGAATTCCAGGAAGTAAATGCTACAGTAAATCTTCTGCCCTTACTCAAGAAGACCTCATCCAGAAAAGCTAAGGGGAGTTTTTCAACATTATTTCGCAGCAAAATAAATAATGGAGACATGGATGATGGCTATGTTGTCTTTGAATATTAAAAATGAATTAAACAGCGTTTTTGATTGAAGGTGCTCAGATGCAGTGAAATTCTGCTTGAAACCCATGAAAATCAACAATTGGAGATTACATCATGCCAAAAACAGAACACATCGAACCCCAGCTGGTGATCACTCCTTTAACAGTGATTTTAAAAAGCACTATTGGTATCGTTTTTTTAGGGTCATAGTAGTTCTAGTTTGATGCATTTGGGACAGGTACATTTTAAAGCATCCCTCGCAATGTCTCTACCAGATGTTCTTTTTCCTGCGCATGCGCAAAGCATCCTCACACTCCTATGACAGAGCTGTACTCATGGAGGCCTCCAGCAGACCAGTAGAGAATGGCTCTTCCTTAGGAACAAACAGGGCCATGGCATACATGTGCAGGAAGAAGAGAACCCATTGGTCCTCTTTCAACAGAGGCGGTGCAGTGCTGGGCAGGGTCGCACAATGAAGATCGCTGGAATGAGGAGAAAAGGTATTTAACTATATGGGCTGTCCTCAGTGGAGTGGAGGCATTAACTAAAAGGACAAGTGTTTTAAAGAACCTGTTGTCATTTAAATTACCTTTTTATATGAAAGCACAAAGCACTGCATTCAGCATGATAATCTAAAGTCTGAGAGACAAGACAAAGTCAATATAAGAGGAAGAAAATTCCTTGCCAAGCAGCACTTACCTGAGAAAAACCAGTCTGCCAGGTTTTCCTCTTTCTTGGCCTCCAGTCCCAGCCTGAACAACAACAAAAAATAGACAGGAGTGTGAGCAGCCATTTTGCAGGTTAGGAGCCTTGTCAAGGTAAGGCAGCCTTTAGAGGTCTGTATCCTTAGTCAGATATGCAGGCATACCTGGTCTGTTTCTTTGGGCCCTGCCCATCTCCAGTTCCTCCTGAAGAACCATTGCCAGAGTCCTTAGCTGGCTCCTTCTTCTGCCCTTCACCCTGTTTGGTCTGCTTGCTCTGTTTTTCAGACTTGTTATCTTTCTCCTTCTGCTTCTTGTCTTCTTTGGGCTTCTTGTCCCTTGAGTCTGCGGCACACACCGGCTTGTACTCCAAACCTGTGAGGGCCTTATACTGAGACTTTAGGTCCAGAAGCTGCTTTACTGCGGCATCCAGTGTTTCCTGCACACCAACACAGTAAAACACTCATCAATCAACCTCAAAGTTTGAGGATACACAACCAAAACCTAACCGGGGCTACACTGCACAGTGCTGTCTGTCTAATATTGGGAACTTATTTACAGGAGGGCAGAGCGCATATGGGCAGCCTCAGAACTGTACTGTGCTTCTCCTCATCACTCTCAAGTCAGCAGACCGGAGGCCTATAGGTGTCTAAGCAAGCAGAGCTTTAGTGGCCTTTTTACCTGTAGTCACCCATTATCATGATTCTTGAAAAGGTTAGAGCAGCCTTTTTCAACCAGGGTGCCTAGGTGTCTTCAGAGGTGCCTTGGCAGAATGCCTATAATTTGCCCAAACATTGCACACAAGCCAGCGGATGGATCAGCCAGCCTTTTAGTGATACAAAGCCTTAGGTTTTCATTGTGCACTGGGGTCACATTATCTGAAAGAGGGAGAGAATCTGGGGCAGAAGAGAAACACTGGAATACTAGTCAGTACCAGTGTACAAAGTTGTATTTGCTTTGGAAAAATAAATCACCTCTAATATTGGGTGTCCTACATGTGTGGATGTTGCCTTGTTATGTAAAAGAGATTGTGCAGATTTTTAAACGGTGCCTGGACTGAAAAAAAGTTAAGATACACTGGGTTAGAGAACCGTGTATACAAAGGACTCCAGCAGCAATAAGCACTGAAGGACATAGATTCAGTATACCTTTTTATAAAGAATCCTGTGGTTGCAATGTAAGCTCTACCTCACCCCCCCCCCCCCCCCCCAATCTGAATAGCTTACATTGCTTTGAGAACTCAGAACATGCTCACAGTGTTTCTTGATGAGGAAATGTTTTTTTTACACCCTGCATCCATACAGTAGAGAGGTTACATAACATCAGCAATATTGATGTAGCATGGGAGGATGATTTTTATAGTTAACATATCTCAAAAGCATATGTGAGACACTAACTACATAGATCAGATATACGTGGATACTGATGAGATAAAACAGCCAATGGTTTTACAAATTTTTTGATGGACACGAATGCTGGAAGCTACTTCTAAGGAAATACTCCATCTCAAAAACTTTACTAAGACAAGCAATAAAGTCTCTCGCTTACTGCTGCACTTTACAATGTAGTCAAATGATTCAGTGATCAGAGAGATTCTTTATTATGTCTGATGAGACAACAAATATCAGTTCTGGGTGGACATTCTCTCTTTAAAAGGTTAACTCAACCTTTTGCAACATATTACATGTTACACCAGAATTTATGGTGTTATATGCTGCTAAGCAAACTTCCTCCACTCTGTCCATGCAGCCACGTAATTCACTTACAGAGATCTATGAATGAATGAACTACAAGTCCCATCTGTCACAACGGCAAACGGGTTTGTATTTCTTGTTGGAACATGAGCACAGTAATCACCATACTCGTGCTCCATTGACACTTCTTCTGATCAGTAACTGAAAGCCGTACTGTGGTACAGGCACAGAGCTACAGAAGCCTGGGATTGCACCTGCATGCAGAATGCTTTGCAGGCTCCTGTGAAAAAGAAAAAAGAATTAAGGCACATTTTTTTCAGCAAAAATATGTTCCTGTTACCAGAGATTTCCAGGAATGTCCCATCCATAACACTGCACCATTATTTACCATCCTGAACGCCCGAAGACAATCCTGGGCAAGACTTCCACTTGGGGTTATGGGGAGAATTAATCTTGTTAAAATTATTCTATTACCCAAATTTCTATACATGTTCTGGCACTGCCCTACTCAAAACAATTGAAGCTTAGTTCGTTTATTTGGGGTTCGGGTAGGCACAAACTCCTGTGGCTCACACTTAACCCCCCCCCCCTCACTATGGGTGGGGCAGTCCTCTCTGACTTTTACTCCTACTATCTGGCAGCACAACTGTCCCACTTCTATCACATAGACAAATCTGAAGCTGATTATTACCAGGCCTTAGTCTGTAGGCAACCGGGCCATACATAATTCTCCCCCCCCCCCTACAAGCGGTGTTAAGGGGAGGTTGGTAGACAGGAGCCCCTGCAGTACGAGAGCCTCTATTACAACACCACTGGCTCTCAGGCGAGTGAATGCCCCCTCCTATCACTCACATGTTCCCATCTGGTACAACCCCCAGTTACCCAAGCTAATCTCCATCCCAAACTCTGATTTATGGACCTCTAAAAGGGGTCCTATACCTTTATCAGGTACTCACGACCGCAGGCCCCAAAACATTTCAGACCCTAAAAGAGGAATTTGATCTTCCAAACCATAAGGTGTTTTGATATCTTCGGCTCTAGCATGCCCTACGGGCTCAATTCCCTTATCAGTCTCCTTCTCTTAAGCCATTCTCCCTGATAGGTATCATTACAGGCACAGAACCCACTAATTGATATCATTATATACTGCATTACATAATCTCACCATGGCCCGAATTGTAGATAAAGCTAAGATTTGCTGGGACCCGGATGTCTGGTCCATGGAGGCAGAAGAATGGGATGAGATACTGGACACCACTAAGCTGGTTTCACCAAGCCTATCTGACAGATTCTCCCAGCTTTATATAGTACATCGAACCTACCTTACCCCACTCTGAACCTCTAGATATCGACCTGAGCAGAGCTCTCTGTGCCCTCGATGTTCAGGGGCTACAGGTACTTTTTTTTCCATCTAATATGGACCTGCCAGGCAATTCAGGCCTATCGGGAACAAATTATTAACTTTCTGCATGACTGTATGGGTTCTCCTCTTCAATTAGACCATCATGCTTGCTGGGCAATATTCCATTTTTGGAAGCAGACAAGTTTTTTAAATATTTTTTTGCCTGAAACCCTATTCAGTACTTGGAAACCTGTTTCACGACACTGAATGCAGGTTGCACCCCCCACCCTTCAAGCAAAGCTTGATTGGTGGAAGTCAACTCGACACTGCCTTATAAAAAAAAAATGGTCCATCTACACAGGGGATGCCCTATGAAGTATAATAGAATATAGGACAGGTGGCTTGAACTGCCAGACACTTGTGTGACCTAAAATGAGTCAGGCAATCTGAGACTAGGTCACAGGACTCCCTCCCATCTAGTACTATTTACTTCACAGCTATCTATAAATTATATGACTCCTTGTATGTGAAATGCTGGTACAATTATGTCCGTACCTCCAGTGTAGTATATCCATTGTCTATAGCTTGTTCAATAGATGCTTAAAAGGGTGTATTTTGGATGTTATTTGTGTATCATCTGCTGTGTACTGTGACATGCAACTGTATGTCTTGTTCGTTAATAAAGTTGCTTTTTTGACAAAAAAAAGCCAAAATATTAGAGAAAAAAAAAAAAGCACAATGTTAATGCACATAAAACCCACCTTCGGAGCTTTCTCACACTTCAGTTTTCGGACCTCATCACCTTGTTTGGACACCTTGTTATAGAGGTCATCAGGTTCTGAACAGCTGGAGGAATTTTCTTGCACACTGACAGAGTTCTCTACTGTTGTGTTTGTAGGTGGCTGCCCTGGTTTGTACTCCTGACCCATCTTTTCTTTGTATTCTGCTTTCAAAGCAAGTAGAGCTTTTACAGCCTCGTCTACTACCTTGTCCTTTAAAGAGAGAGGCAAATATCAACACAAATATGTATATATACACACTAAGCTGCAATGAAACAATAATATCCAATGATGATTACAACACTGAAAATTCTAATATCCTTATGCCCAGGACAGCTCAGAAGAGGTTCACCTGCACTGCATTTGCCATAAGTGAACAGCTAATGGAACACCTAGATATACAGTATATAAATGGATAATTTATGTACATCAGACAGCGGTATCATTTCTCAATGGTTAGTTTTCAGCCCAAACCCCTACAGCAAAGCCAAGCCCATGCAGCAGGAGTGATATCTCTGCAACCCTAGCATATTTAAAGTGGAATTTAAAGCAAAATATTTTTTTCATTTTAAATAGCATATAGGAGGGTTATAACCCCTGTCAATTTTATACTTTTGTTGCCATCTGAGTCCCACTGTGGAGATTTCACTTCCTGTCCCATAGGCAAAATAGGAATTGAAAGGAAATCCCTCCAAAGCGAGAATCCCCGGTTGTCACCAGATCCACACTGGGCGATTTTACCCTCTATTTCTATTCCTGGGACAGCCCAAAATTAGGGATCTTCTTTTTCTTTCACTCTTGGTGATAACAGTAAACACAGACAGCAATAAAAAAACCTGACAGGTATTCTAATCCCTCTCCTTTCCATCCAAAATAATAATAATAAAAAAAAAAAAAAGATTTGTCTTTAGTTATACTATAAGGCAAAAATTCATAAAAGAAATCAGACCTATAACAAGTACCAGCCTTCAGAGCTCTTTACCTTTGGAGCCTTTTCAGATTTCAGCTTGCGGACAGCCTCTCCTTGCTCAACAACTCTCTTATAAAGACTAGCATGGTCTGTGGAGGCAACATCTGCTGGACCAGAGCTCTGTGCAGGAGGAGAGGTTTTGCAAGGAGTCTGAGAAAAGGGAGGAGGGCACCCAGGCTTATACTCCTGCCCAGTTTGCAGCTTGTATTCTGCTTTTAGGGTTAGGAGGGATTTCACTGCAGCATCAATCTCATCCTAATCACAGAAAAGAGGAGGAAAAGACAACAGCATAGGAAAGGGAAAGCTTTAGAAATGCAAAGTGCATGCACTGAAAACTATCTGGGTGAGAATACAGCACAACAATCATTGACAAACATAGCTATGAAAAAAAAAAAAACTGGACACGCTTTCCATAATTCTCTGTAACTGTCATAACGAGTCCATGAATTCAGCTGGCTATGCCAAGCACAGAGGCAGGCTTGTGTTCTCCATGTACTCTACCTTAGGAGCCTTCTTGCTTTTCAGCTGTCGGACCACCTCTCCTTGTTCTGCTACCTTGTTGTATATCACCGTGATATCAGGAGATTGAGGAGCAGAAAGACAGGGTGCAGGATTCCTGCCCACAGCTACGGGAGGGCTGGCTGCTTTATACTCCTGCCCCGTTAATTGTTTATACTCGGATTTCAGCAATAAGAGGGTTTTCACAGCTGCGTCAACCTGAGGCTAGTGTAAAACAGAAGAGAAAATAGTGCGCACTAAGAGAAAGGCGAGGAGCTAGGAGGAAAAAGATGCATGCAGCATTTAAAAAGCAGCAAAGTCCAAAGAGTACCCATCACCAGCACATGGAAGCAGACAATTAGGTGGGCAGTGTCATTTTTTAGGAATGTAGCCCATGGATTTGCTAGAATGATTCCTCAAATGTTTGTTGTATAACACCAGTACTTCACAGCAGAGCTCAGGATCAATGGGGTTTTCCGCTTTCATAGAGAAAGGTGAAAATCTCCATCATGGCCCCAACCACTGCTGATTAGCAGCCATGTACAAATAGAACCATGGTGATATCTAAAGCTACCACCATTCATAACTGCATGGCTTTCCCGAGGAACTCCCAGAAACCCATATTTTTCCAACAGGATTCTGGGAACTCTTTCATACGTCCTTTGCTACAAAGAAAGTAATTTTCAGACCACATTTAAGGTATTATCAGATCTATAGATTTTTTTTTTATTGTTCTCCAAGGGGACAACTCTAATAACTAGGGATAAAAGTCTTGGCTATAGGCCAAATGGGTATTTTCTAAGCTGCCTTGGACCAACAAAGCTGGAAATAATGCATCCCTTTGATAGGTAGAAAATATGCACTTTAAATTTAAAAACAATTAAATATACTGCAGTCCTTAGATGAGATAACTGCATTAGTTATCTTTTTTCAGATTTTTATTCCTTGTATTTTCATCTGGCAATTCTATCAGTAATACACTTTGTGCTATAGGGTGACAACACTCATTCAGAGTGCTGTATTTTACAAAGTGTTGTCTCCCTAGGACAGGAGGTATGTTAGGACTACTTAATACACCCCCCTCTCTCATTTCCACAACAAAGCGGAAAGATTTCTGCAAAGCAGGGAGAGAAAACTGGAAACAATGCTAAGTAATTAAAGTCAGTAGAGGCAATGAGCAGAGGAAGGTATCAATGTACTAGATTTTCTGTGAGAATTATAAGGTTTTTTTGATCAGGTATAACAAGTTTCTTTTAGTATTATATATAGTATTACAGAAAGAGTCTTATACACGAGACCACAATAATATCCTACTATTAAGGAGATAGCAAACATTAGTAACTTTCATGTGATCACTTTAAATCCAAAACAGACAATTCCATTCCTTAATGTACCTAATCAAATTAGTGGTACTGTAAGTAAAACACATATGGACAGGAGGATCACTTAATTCTTACATCAACTTTCCAAAGGCAAAATAGGTCTATACTAATTTTACCTTCGGTGCTTTTTCAGTCTTCAGTTTCCGGACTAAGTCCCCTTGTTCAGTCACCTTATCATACAATGTTTTAGGATCACTGTTGTTAGCAGCTGTTGGGCTGGGGGTGGTGGTGGTGGGGGGTGATGGTGGGTACAGGGGCATTTCCTGGTTTATAGTCTTGTCCCGTTGTCTGTTTGTATTCGGCTTTCAAGGCTAAAAGAACTTTTACTGTGGCATCGATCTCGGTCTTCTCTGCTTTCTTGGTCTTGAGGTCCCGGACAAGATCTCCCTGAGCTGTGACCTTGTTGTACAGTTCTAAAGGACTACCTGCAACCGCTGCTGGCTGTGGTACTTGGACTGGAGCATTCTTCACTGCCTCTTCTGCACACTTTCCTTTGGGTTTGGTCTGTGGAAAACAGATATAAAACAGTAAATAAGACATTTCAATTAGACCGTTCTAAACAGGCTGGGGAATGCAACCATGTTTCATGTTAAACCCTAAATATGGGTGAATCATAAATCAATTTCTAAAAGAAGGACTAAACTTTTAAGGGAATGTATAGAGGTTTTGCTGGATAAGTTTTTTTTACTATAGTCAGGAAATAAGACGATGACAAAGCAGGCAGTAGATGGTTCAGTGGACTGCTGTGGACTTAAAAATTAAAAAATTAGTGTAGGTGTGACAAACTTTCATGTTCCAGTCTTTGTATTAAATTAGTTGCATTAGTATCGGCTTATAGAAATGTGAAATATGGAGAAACTGATACATTCCAAGGAAATTAACCTCTCTAGCGGTCTAATTATGTCCATAATTCTGTGCTCAAAGCGGTACATTTTTTTTCATGGAAATATGTTGTTTTTTTATTGTAGGCCTGTAATTTTTAGGAATAACTCACTGAAATCTGTCCGAACAAGAGTCTAGTAAACATCCCAGGTATGTTAAAATTTGAAACACAAAATCATAAATTATAATTTAATAAATAATCATAAAAAATAATAATATAATATTATATTTAATTCAAGAATAAAATCAAACTAAAAACACTAAAATTTGAAATAGAGCACCAAGTTCGCACATCACTGAGCAAAGTCGCAAAATCGTTTTCAGTGTCTGATGACGAACTTCCCCACGAATTATTATCAATCAATTCTGCAAGTGGTTCTGATTTACTATCGCTGTTCTCTAGCTGGTCTAAAACCGCTTTTGACCTAAAGGGATGCTTTTTGGACGCCATGGACGTTTCTCAGTTTCCAGGCAGAAAGAACAGTAAAAATGCAGGCAGGACACAGGACAAAGTACTAGGAACAAAATGTATGTGAAATGGTTTGATACAGCAATGTTTTACTATGTGATTTTAGTGTATTTAGTGAATGTCACTTTTTGTCATTTTCAAATTTCCCGCCGTTCCGTCCCCGTACGTCCCGACATCGCAGGGGACGGAACCCAGATGACAGATGCCGGCATCCGCCGGAGGGCATTACAGAGGACACTGCAGGAGGGACATCGCGGGAGCACAGGACAAGGTAAGAGAAGAACAGATCCCAGAGCAGCGCCGCATGGTAAGCCCGAGTGTAGCTCGGGGTCACCGCTTTTGATACTGAAGCTTTACCCCGAGCTACACTGGGGAATACCGCCAGGGAGGTTACAGTGTACCTATACTCAAATATTCACTTCAAGCTATAATAAACCTGAACTAAAAAAAAAGTGAAAGATTTGCTTAGGCCCCTTTCATACAGGGTCAAATACATTTTAATCTGTTTGCTCAGCGGAAGAACTGTCCGATCTGCTCTATGGGGGCTTGGAAGTACATGGACCAGCTGTCCTCTTACATCTGAATGCCCTTCGATCTGATCAACGGAAGGGGAATGAATCCCCCTGTGAATGTGGCCTTATAGAGAACATCTAGATCTGTTAAATGGGCCCAAGATTTTTTCTGGAAGGTTTACTCTACAATTCCTCCTGAAAAAACAGCAGCGCATTTCTTGTTCCTAGGCACTGCTGTACCCTTATCTTCATAGCTGTATCTGCAGTGTGAGAACTAAAGTACTGCTGCCTCTGATTGCTTATCTCAGGAGATTTGGTGATGTCACTACTGTGCCGCTCACTGTTCTTGCTGGAGAGGAAGCTGTATTTGAGGACCTGAAGTGCAAGGAAAGTCAGTAATTGTGAAAAAATGAGCTGCAGGAAGACTACAGACAATACTGGTGAGTGCTTGACTTTTTAGGCACAGCTTTCACAGCATGGGACCTACTTAACATAAACCTGCACTTAAAGTAGTAACAAGGGCAGCCAATGCTGAAGACCCAAGGTTACTAACTGCCAGGCTATCTTCAGCTTTAACAACTCTTCCAGGTCTGTGCCTCAGAAAGTACTCAAGCTTTTAGGTCAGCATGAAAGTCAGGCAACTAGTATTTTTAGATGCAGAGCCAATTTTGGCAGCTTCTATGTTTTCCAGGTACATGTTTTCTGTTGCGTGTTTAAAAGCTCAATTTGTCATGTAAGTTCTAGTTTGGTCAGGCAGGTCCTCCCTTTCAGCAGTAGTCACATTACCTACATAAATGTTACAAGCACGGAAGGAACATCAGAACATTTTTCATAGGAAAAGTATTTCACTCCTCTTACTGCTCTTTATTTATCCATTCTATTAAGAACTTTAGTATAGCTTGTAGTTGGTTGTCTGTTAAACTGGAGTAAAGGTTGACTTTCATTTTTGTACACTTATGAAATGATCCTATTCTGTATTACTTAAACCTGTGGACCAAATGTGTCCTAGACTAAGAACAATAAGTTGATAAGCCATAACCTATTCATGCTCATCTGCTTACCTCCTTTTTGACACTGGCCACCTTTGCCTTCTCCTTGGACCCAGACGTTGGCATCTCCTTGGTGTGACCATCTGGGATGTAAATTAGGACACATGGGGCCTCCTTGCAGCTGTGTGGACTGTATAAAATAAAGGATAAAAACTGTATGGTTTGGTCCAAAGATGTAACACTTTGAGCAGCTATTAATTTCAGCACAGTCTCTAAAGGTACAGGCCAATTTATTTTGTGTGAAAGTTAGGGCCAAGTCACACAGAAGAATGCAAGAGGAAAGGCTTTCCCTTACCCTAATGGAATTGGGAGGGAGTGACATTTTGTTGGTTCAGTTACCAAGGGAGTGACTCCATAGCAAAAGGTAAGTTATCAGCTAACGATCCTGGCATTGGTGAGTCAGGATAGTTTATATAACAAAAACCCAACAGTGTACATTCCCAGTACAGTCGTTTGTGTTACCTGATTGACTCATAAGGTTCATCACAAATGTAAAACCCTCTCCGCTGCAGCTGAATAATGTCACCCTTCTTCAGATTATTTAGGCAAGGGTCTCCCAGCATCACCTCTTCTTGCTGCAAAAAGACAAAAAAACTGAATTAAAAGCTACAAAATACTAATTCGGCACATGTGCATTTAAATCTACACACACGTTGTTATGTCAGAGTACACTGTGTGCACAACTATTAGGCAAGTGAGTATTTTTACCAAATTATCACTTTTATGCATAATTGTCCAACTCCAAGCTGTATAAACTTGAATGCTTACTGGATTTAAGCATGTCAGGTGTTGTGCATTTCTGTAATGAGGGAGGGTATGGCCTAAAGAGATCAATACCCTATATCAATATTAAATAATCCTCCTGCGCTTAATGGAGTACCTATAGTTATAAGCAGCTCGCACTCAGACTGGTACCATACAGTAGAACTAATAAATACAAAAGGGTAGTGCAGCGCTCAATCACACACTTATATCAAATCCAAAAAAGTAACAAATAAATAGTACAATAATGCTCTTAAATATATCAAAGAGACACACGAATGATATGAATGAAGCCGAGACACTCTTAAGTAATATCAAAGTGACTAGTATTAAAAAATAGCAATAAATGTGCCCCCCTCACTCCATCTGGCACTTACATTTAAGATCATAATAAACGGTTCGCCCCCACAAGCATGGGTGTACTGCATGGCTGTACACCCATGGGTTTATTATGACATCTTAAATGTAAGTGCCAGTTTTTATTCTACAAATAAAAGCACTTTACTTTGGCATACTACACTATCAGAGTGTCTCCTTATGAGTGGTATACCCAGTGGAGACCAGGAGCCAGTGCATCCAGTGTATCATCCCCATGTGATGAGAGGTCTGAAGGAGCTTATCTGACAGCATTGGAGGAAGATCCTATAGATATCTTGAAGGCGCATAGGTCCAGTGGGCCGCTGAGTGGAGATGAGGAGGCAATTCAGCCATAGGAGGAGAGTCACTCACCAGCACCAGAAGTTTTGTGTGATCACGCAAAATGCACGAGTTTCTACTGTGTTGAACACCATCACTTACCATTTATGAACTGTGCATACTCACCTTGAATAGTCCTACCCACTGGTCACGTTATAGAGTGGGAGTGAGGGGGGAACGTTTATTGCTATTTTTTAATACAAGTCACTTTGATATTACTTAAGAGTGTCTCGGCTTCATTCATATCATTCGTGTGTCTCTTTGACATATTTAATAGCATTATTGTACTATATATTTGTTACTTTTTTGGATTTGATATACAGTCAGGTCCATAAATATTGGGACATCAACACAATTCTAACATTTTTGGCTCTATACACCACCACAATGGATTTGAAATTAAACGAACAAGATGTGCTTTAACTGCAGACTGTCAGCTTTAATTTGAGGGTATTTACATCTAAATCAGGAGAACGCTCAACTCTCAAGATGAGATCCAAAGAGCTGTCACTATCAGTGAAGCAAGCCATCATTAGGCTGAAAACACAAAACAAACCCATCAGAGAGATAGCAAAAACATTAGGCGTGGCCAAAACAACTGTTTGGAACATTCTTAAAAAGAAGGAACGCACCGGTGAGCTCAGCAACACCAAAAGACCCGGAAGACCACGGAAAACAACTGTGGTGGATGACTGAAGAATTCTTTCCCTGGTGAAGAAAACACAACAGTTGGCCAGATCAAGAACACTCTCCAGGAGGTAGGTGTATGTGTGTCAAAGTCAACAATCAAGAGAAGACTTCACCAGAGTGAATACAGAGGGTTCACCACAAGATGTAAACCATTGGTGAGCCTCAAAAACAGGAAGGCCAGATTGGAGTTTGCCAAACGATATCTAAAAAAGCCTTCACAGTTCTGGAACAACATCCTATGGACAGATGAGACCAAGATCAACTTGTACCAGAGTGATGGGAAGAGAAGAGTATGGAAAAGGAACTGCTCATGATCCTAAGCATACCACCTCATCAGTGAAGCATGGTGGTGGTAGTGTCATGGCGTGGGCATGTATGGCTGCCAATGGAACTGGTCCTCTTGTATTTATTGATGATGTGACTGCTGACAAAAGCAGCAGAATGAATTCTGAAGTGTTTCGGGCAATATTATCTGCTCATATTCAGCCAAATGCTTCAGAACTCATTGGACGCCACTTCACAGTGCAGGTGGACAATGACCCAAAGCATGCTGCAAAAGCAACCAAAGAGTTTTTTAAGGGAAAGAAGTGGAATGTTATGCAATGGCCAAGTCAATCACCTGACCTGAATCCGATTGAGCATGTATTTCACTTGCTGAAGACAAAACTGAAGGGAAAATGCCCCAAGAACAAGCAGGAACTGAAGACAGTTGCAGTAGAGGCCTGGCAGAGCATCACCAGAGATGAAACCCAGCATCTGGTGATGTCTCTGCGTTCCAGACTTCAGGCTGTAATTGACTGCAAAAGATTTGCAACCAAGTATTAAAAAGTGAAAGTTTGATTTATGATTATTATTCTGTCCCATTACTTTTGGTTCCTTAACAAGTGGGAGGCACATATGCAAACTGTTGTAATTCAAACACGGTTCACCAGATTTGCATGTAAATACCCTCAAATTAAAGCTGACAGTCTGCAGTTAAAGCACATCTTGTTCGTTTCATTTCAAATCCATTGTGGTGGTGTATAGAGCCAAAAATGTTAGAATTGTGTCGATGTCCCTATATTTATGGACCTGACTGTACATGATTTTTGTGCACAGGGACTGCCCTGTAGCAGTATATCTGCTATAGGGCAGTCCTTTAGTGGTTAGGTTTAATGTGGAGAAATTTGCAGAGGGCGTGTGATGCCATCATTTAACTATATGTAGGATGCTCCGGAGAAGGAGCCAGAAACTCACAGAAGAGAAAATACCAAATATCATGAGCGAGTTGGTCAATTTAAGAACTGCTGTCCACTTGTAGCTGAAGGACATAAAGTGCGCTTGTATACATGTGCACATTTTGCATCTCATTCCAGGAAATTCAACAGGTTAACTTTATTACTCTATAAGAAGTGTACTTTGTACGATTTGTGTACAACAACAATCACTATTATCAGCCATGTGACTATTATCCTAAATAGGCTCTCATTGAGAAAGAATATTAACCTCTATAGATTAAAATTGAGGCTAATGTCAAAGTTGAGGCAACTCAAAAGAACTCAGAAGCATTTAAAAAAGGTAACACAAATGCAAGCCAGGTATATAAGAAAAAGGGAATTTTACAAAGTGTTAAATAGTCAAAAAATATGAAAAGATTGGCTAAAGTTTTATATAACTGCCAACTTTACAAGGTTTAGATACAGGAAAGTTTTTTGGTTATTTTTTTCATAATTACAAATCCATTTGCTCCCTTTTTTATTTTCCTCCGACTAGAAGAGAGAAAGGTCACACAAATGGCTGCCAACAGCGTGTGGACTAGAATGGAAGAAAACTGCATGTGTCTGGTTCATTCTAGGTTTACTTCTCTTAGATATCACTTAAACAAACTGCACAACTGTGTCATGTTGAAACCTCATAATTATTTTCTTTACGGGTTCCTGTGTATTCTCTGTTCACCATTGGTGTCATTATGTTCTTTTTCACAAGCATAAAATACAGCTTATTACTATTGTAGATGAGTAGCCCCAACATGTAAAACAATCACCTTGCTGCTTCTGTTGACATACTGCTTAAAGTCTTCATCTTTGCCCAGTACTGGCTTGGTGATCAGATGGTCGTAGTTGACGCATGTGGTGGGAATAAAGGGAGCTTTATCAGTGTCTGCCAACCAAGTGATCTTTGTGGTTTTCTTGTAGTCCTTGTTATCCAGATTCAGCTTGGCATCCAGAGACTTTATTTTCCCACTGGAATCTCTGCAATAAAACAGAGAAAATCCATTTTTATCTTTCAAATGAAACAGTAACCAGATTGGTCGCTATGTGTATTTAATGCACATTTGCCCTGTGTTCTTTGATTCTGAAAGTCAGCCTCAGCATAAACACTTAACAGCAACTAAAGTAGACCTAAACCTAATCACTGAAATCTCACATAATCTTTGTCATGTTTATATACCGTATTTTCCGGCGTATAAGACGACTGGGCGTATAAGACGACCCCCTACTTTTCCTGTTAAAATGTAGTGTTTGGGCTATACTCGCCGTATAAGACTACCCCTCTTCCAGTGCACACCAGTGGGAAGAATCGTGCCCCATCATTGGTATCAGTGGGAGGAATATTGGTATCAGTGGGAGGAATAGTGCCCCATCATTGGTATCAGTGGCAGGAATAGTGCCCCATCATTAGTATCAGTGGGGGGAATAGCACCCCATCATTGGTGTCAGTGGAATAGTGCCCCATCTTTGGTGTCAGTGGGAGGAATAGTGCCCCATCTTTGGTGTCAGTGGGAGGAATAGTGTCCCATCATTGGTGTCAGTGGGAGGAATAGTGTCCCAACATTGGTGTCAGTGGGGGGGGGGGGGGGGATAGTGCCCCATCGTTGGTGTCAGTGGGGGGGGGGGGGAAATAGTATCCCATCATTGGTGTCAGTGGGGGGTGGAATAGTGCCCCATCATTGGTGTCAGTGGGGGGGTGGAATAGTGCCCCATCATTGGTGTCAGTGGGGGGGGGGGGAAAAGTGCCCCATCGTTGGTGTCAGTGGGAGGAATAATGCCCCATCATTGGTATCAGTGACACCAATGATGGGGCACTATTCCTCCCACTGACACTTGCTGACCCCTGTTCCAGTATGGTGCTGCTGCAGCCAGCATATGTGGTTGCAGCAGCACCTAAGCACGGCACACTTTACCTTCATCTCCTTCACTCGATTTTCGCGGGGCTGCTCAGCTCCGCCTCCTCGCCAGTGATTGGCCGCCTGTGTGCCTTTCCTGAGCTACAGTTCTGGCGGCCAATCACCGGTGAGGAGGCGGAGCCGAGCAGCCGCGCAAACATCCAGTGGACGAACCGAATGAAGGAGCAGCCGCGCTTCCTGGACCGGATCGTCGTGGGACCGGAGCCAGGTAAGAGACAGCAGCCCCTGCCCACCCCTGTACTTAGTTTCTCTTCTGTTGGAAGGGGGGGGGCGGCAGCGGCACCGCGACGCCCCCCTAAAAAGTGTCAGCATGCCGTTACCGGCGTATAAGATGACCCCCGACTTTTGAGAAGATTTTCAAGGGGTAAAAAGTCGTCTTATACGCCGGAAAATACGTAGTTTTCAAAAGTTGTATTAAATCCTTTCAAATCTGTAGCTTTCGATCACACAATCCCGGGTAATCCTGCCATGAAAGTCCTTGTTCAGGCATTTCCATGTTTTAGGGCGACAAATTAATCTCAGATGAGGTCTTGTGCTGTCACCCAGTCACATGCATGTATTTGTAGCCTTATGGGGACTACAAATAGCTGTGCAAACGCACAATGTACAGCCATGATCCACTATTGTCATTGTCAGGAAGTTGATTCAGAACAATGATGTGTAGCCAACAACAGAGTGCATGTAGACGGGAAGTGTCTGAAAGATGACAAAAATGATCAACAGCACAGAGATGCACATACAGTGAAATCAGCATAATAAAAAAATTTAAAAAAAGAGACAGACAGACAAGTTCATCCACCTTAAAGTGGAACTACACTGCACCTGAGCACCAAAAACGCCATTTAATTCATTTTTAATATTCAACACAAACTACCCACTCCAGCCACATTTCCATGCTTATTTTGCTGGAAAAACACTTTGAAAAACACCTCCCTGGCATTTCTGGCCATGGCCATCTTGAGAAAGGGCAGATGATTCATATGGAATTTACTCCCTGAAATCCATCTGCCCGTAGCTCAGGCAAGCAGGTAGGAGGGTATGCTCAGCTGGCAAAACCCCTCCTCCCCTCCAGAAGACTCCTGGGATGTATGATATAAGTTTCCTAGCCATGAAAACCAAGAAGAAACTGAAAAATGTAAAAAATAAAGTTTAAAACAAGTTAATATGATATACTTTCCGATCTATTTAGTAATGCTGCATACGGATTAAAAACAGTCAATGCTGATTGAGAGAGTGAAGTTCCGCTTTAATAAAGTGGACCTAAACTAAAAATTAATACTACAACCTTTTCACTTTGTGAAACTCAAAATCCCTTAATTCAGAAATATCAAACGATCAATAATTATAAATTCATACATAAACTAAATAAATAAAAAAAAATAAAAATAATAAAACACAGATAAAATATAAATAAAGTGCAAAATTAAGTGTCCAAATAATGGTGTCCAAATATAATATCCAAATATGGGTTAGTCCACCAAAATATTTCAATTCCGTGTATCCAACTTAATTCTCCATTCCTGACCACGTAATATCTCAAGAAAATATAACTAAAATAGTGTATTACCTTCAAAAAATTCACTTAAATGTATATACCTTTATTTCTACCCCTCCAATGTGCCTCTACAGTATCTATCCCACAGAATTTTAATACACTGGGATCTGAATTATGAAATTTTTTAAAGTGCCTTGATACATTGTGGTCCTTTTAAATGCTGGTTAAATAAGCATTAGATAGTATCTGTTTGCAGTTGCTGCCCTTGTTAAATATGGCAGCTAAAGCTTCTATAATTTCTTTTTTTTTTTTTTGAGAGTGTACACATTGTTTCACGTTTATTGGAGTGTACACAGAGTGATTTTTCTTGCATGATTCACGCGTCACTCACAGTTGAATCTGGTTATTTATTTGGCACCTATTAAGTATATACTAATTTGTTTAAAAGGTATATACATTTAAGTGATTTTTTGAAGGTAATACACTATTTTAGTTATATTTTCTTGAGCTATTATGTGGTAAGGAATGGAGAATTAAGTTGGATACACGGAATTGAAATATTTTGGTGGACTACCCATATTTGGATATTATATTTGGACACTTAATTTTGGACTTTATTTATTTATATTTTATTTGTGTTTTATTATATTTAATTTTTTTTTTAATTTATTTTATTTATGAATTTATAAATTATTGATCGTTCGATATTTCTGAATTAACGGGTTTTGAGTTTCACAAACAGAAAAGGTTGTAGTATTAATTTTACTTTCAAGGGTGAAAGTGTGACTTTTCTTGGGGGTGCTTATAGTGAGAGCTCATTTATTAATTTGTTAAACTAAAAATTGACTTTAGGTGTTCTAGTCCCTCTTTTTATGCCCACGCTAAACAGTTTAATCCAGAAATACGGCTATTATTGGAGCTTCCATGTTAGTTCTGTATGTCATCCATTGTCAATGACAACTTCCATCTCAGGAGGAGGTATGACTGGCTGCCTATGCTTGAACAACCAATCAATGCCTCTGTCTAATACAGACCCCGCCCTCAGCTAAGCAAGACTATGGTATCGCTAGTCAATGTCAGAGGAAGCCAGCTCCAGGACTATTTGAGACCTAAAATACTTGGCTTTAGTGTGGGTGGAGTAACAAGGCCCAGCTGACCTTAAAGCTGAACTAAAGCAAAAAAAAAATTTGTTACTGGACTCTGGCATGCATATGCGGCTCAGTGTACACAGAAAATAGAAAACACTAACAGGCAGGAAAAGAAATTTATGAACAGACGAGACATACCGAATCTCCTCTGTCATTAAAAGAAGAAAAAAAAAAAAAAAAAACTACCTATGAACATATTTTTTGAAACAGGGATTTACTTCTGCTTTAAAATTTCAACCCGTAACAGAATAAATAACCCCAATGATTTAAAAGACAACAAATATTTTTACCTGTGTATTTTGGTGATGTTGAGATTTCCCCAATTAATAAAAGTGACCGTCTCGCCCTCAGACAGAGTTTCAGCATCTGCTCCCTCAATGAGAACTCTCGGACCATACCACACTGGCTTCATACCAACCTCAGTATTCTGAACAACAACAAACAAACCTCAAACCATTAAAGTACATACAATTCAAATCACAAAAATCTCACTGAAGCTTTAATATGATAATGTTATTTTATAAGTTGTTTTTAATCTTTCTACTGTCACAAATGTTAATGATGAACTGTGATAAAAAGATTAGTGGCTCTGAAAACTTGCCAAATTTGTGTTCAAAAGAAATTCTTAACAAGGGGCCTATACTATGGCAGAACTGGCTTTTTAAACCTTTTTTCTGTAACAAATTAAACGTAAAGTCTTTTTGTTAAAGGTTGCATATGTCATATTTAAATTGTATATTTGGTTTGGATGAAGTAGGAAAGAACTGGAACACCCTGTCAAGTATGCATTGCTCTGCCCCCTCTGTTTGTTCTGGTAACCACTGTCACAGAGACAGAGGACAATTAGAAATTTAAATATTTTACGGGTGTCTCCAAAACAGGAACAGGGAGTAAATCTTCTTCTGGTGACCACTCTCCAGGAGTGGAGATCTCGTCTCCTTTTTTAGAGATTTCCTAGCATGTCCTTTTACGACTGGAACAGGAAGAGTAGGAAAATGCAACTAATATCCTTCTCTGCTCAAAACTCTGAGTGTAGAAAAGAAATCACCCCCCTTTAAAATAATGACATTTTGTTGCTTTCCAGTCTGAAATGAAGACAGACCATTTACGTTTTATCAAGCCGTATTTTGCTCAGAAATGCTGAAAAAAATTTTTTGCTAAAAATTCAAAAACAGAATCACGGAGTTGGAAAAAGGATCACCCATCCTAAAAATGACTTGTACACTCACTCAGGTGTAGCTAATCACCTTCTCGATGGCACACAAGCCATTTGACTTTCAACTGTAATCAGCTGTGGTCATTTTGATTAGCTCAGCATGCAAAGAGCTTTCCTGGAGCATTTCAGTCCCTGGTAGTGTAACTTAAGCAAACAATCAACTCTGGGTGGCAAGGCACTGTCAAAAGATCTCCGGGATAAAGTTGTGGTCAGGCACAAGTCAGGAGATGGAGACAAAATAATTTCAAAGGATTTATCAATGCCTAGAAGCACAGCTATCACTAAATGAAAGGTATTTGGTACAACACAAATTTCCCTGGATCAGGACGTCACTCCAAACTGGATGAAAGAGCCAGGAGGAAACTGGTCAGAAAGGCTACCAAGAGGCCTACAGCAACTCTGAAGCAGTTGCATTAATTTATGACAAAGAGTGGTCATTGTGTGCATGTGAAAACAATATCACAAATTCCCCACAAATGCGGCTTGTATGAGAGGCTTGCAAGAAAAAAGCCAGTCCTCATGAAAGACCACAGGCAGTCAAGACTGAGCTTTGCCACAACGCACCTTGAACATTCTGAGGCCACATGGAAAAAGGAGTTATGATCAGATAAGACTAAAAATTGAATTTGGCCTCAATACCAAGCGTAATGTCTGGCGGAAATCCAATATAACTCACCATCCAAATACCACCAAACCTACAGTAAAGCATGGAGGTGGGGATATCCTGTTATGTCACAATCACACAGTGGGTGAAGAAGAAAAAAAAGGTGAATGTCCTTGCATGGCCTAGTCAGAGCCGAGACTTAAACACCATTAAAAATCTGTGGAATGACTTGAAGACTGCAGTCCAAAGTCACCATCAATTGTAACTGAACTTGAGCAGTTCTGAAGGGAAGAGTGGGCAAATATTACAAAGTCTAGATGTGCAAAGTTAGTAGTGACATATCCCAATAGACTAACAGCTGTAATTTATGCAAAAGGTGGTTCAACAAAATACTGACACGAGGGGGGGTGATCCTATTTCCAACTCATTGATTTCTGAATTGTTTTAAAAAAAAATTTTGTGACATGTTGGCGTTATATCTTTCACTTGGATGTAATTAGTTGCACTGAGTAAACACAGCTGGATAAAAACAAAAACTGTGTCTATCTTCATTTCAGGCTGTAAAGCAACAAAATGTGATTATTTTAGGGGGGGGGGGGTGAGGAGAGAGATACATACATACACACACACACACACACTTTAAAATTTATAGCGCAGTATACATATACACATTGAGTTTTTTGTTTTCATTTACCCAGAGGGTGAACAAGGGAAAAAAAAAAAAAAAAAAAAACATTTCACAGATCCCTGTATCCACACAAATGATTATCTCTCCCACAGCGCTATTGTATTCTGACAGACTAGACTCCCCTCCATCATAGTACACAGATCTGTGCTGATCAGATCAAGGGCTGATCGAATGCAGGTTTTCCAGTATGACCGTTTGACAGAAACCAGCTCCCCTCAGCGCCCCAATACTTACCTGGGCCTGATCTCGATTCAGCGATGTGTATGAAAGCAGAGGCTCTCCCGACTCTCTCTCCTCATTGGCTAAGACACAACAGTAGGGGCCATGGGCTCCAGCTGTCATTCAAAGCCAGTGAGGAGGGAGTGGGGGCAGGGCTGAGCGATGCTCTGTGCATCTAATGGACACACAGAGCCAGCACAGAAGCAATCACATGAGAGCACCTTGCTATGGGGACACTTGGCGGGGGGAAGAAACCAGGAGCTCCGGCAGGAGACCTGAAAAGAGGAGCATCGAGGCTGCTCTGTGCAAAACCATTGCACAGGACAGGTAAGTATAACATGTGTTTGTTATTTAAAAGAAAAAAAAAATTACCTTCACAAGCACGCCACTTTGGCTATATATACACACTTTAAAGAGTAGCTTTTTTTTTTTGTAACGTTAGAATTGGGGAAGGAGATAGGGAGGACAAAATCTTTCAGTTCTTGGCGGCGATGGGAAGGGAGGAGAAACCTACACAGTTAGACCACAGACAACAACAACAAAAGTGACAGGGGTTTTAATTTTTTGCATTAAGCTGAAAAAAATAGTTACACCTCGAAAATATTTTGTTAAAATGCCAAAACGTACAAAAATGTAAATAATATCATTAGTATAGTAACCTTGGGATGCTTGGCTACTTCTGTCACACCTTCTTCTGCCTCCAGGACGTTGACTGGGACAACCTGGCTCTTCAGCAGGGCAGTGTACCGTGGAGCTACAGGATCTATCACCTAGCAGAGACAAACACACAAGCAGATTAGGCATATGCAACTTGTGGACAGAACCATCGTTAAGTACATAGACAGTAACTGGTCTTTTATAAAATCAGAAAATGAAAACTAAAATATTCGGTTTTTTTTGTTTCAAGCAGAAAATAAAACATTTTATAGCTGTGGACTGAGCGAAGTGTAAGACCGTGTGTCTGTTTTGATTTAAGCTACATTGGCTCTATTTTAAACATAAAGTGCATTAAGACATACTACAATTTGCCACACTATATACCAGTGTATACCAGTGGCAGCAAGGTATCAGCATAGAAAATTGTACCTATTAACTGTCCCCACTGCTAAAATTATTTTAAACTGATATTTACTTCATCCTATTGCTACCACCACCATCAGGACCAGTAGTGAACCTCCATTGGAATGAGTGGGAAAAAAAAAAAAAAAGATGGAGCTTCACTATGATTAATGCCTGTAATGACTGACAAAGAGGAAGGAGAAAGGATTCCAACCAGCAGATTTAGGTACCAGAGACACAGAGGCACTAAACAGTCCAGTATGTTTATTATAGAGTATATAATAGTTATTAAAGAGTATGGCAAAATATAATTAAAGGATAAGTTCACCTTCTGGCCAAAAATAATAAATGCACATTTTTTTGCAGGTAAAAAAAAAATATGCATTTATTATTTTTGTCCAAAGGAGCCTGGAAAGTTACACCAGCCATCAGTAGATTGCTGATGCCATGCAGGTCTCCTGCAGATCTGTCAGAATATCTACTTCCCGTGCGGGATGTACAAGCAAGCAGATATTCTGACAGGAAGCTTCAATAAACTACCACGGCGCTACTACCAGAGCGATCCACAGCGCCGTGGTAGTTCATTGAAAAAACTACAAGCCCACATCCGCAAAAAAAACTACCGGGACTTGCAGTTCATTAATTCTCAGAAATGAAATACGCGGCCATGTGGGCAAAGCACTGCACGGCTGCACTGTTTTCAAATCTGACAGATAGTATGGGGAGAAGTTTCCCCGTACTGTCAGGGGGGGGGGGGGGCGGCTGCAGCTATGGAAACATGTTACATGTTTCACCCTAAAAAACGGGTAAAACATGTAACATGTTCCAAAGGAGAACTTATCCTTTAAACTATATACACTTAAAAATAATAGATTTATTTTTAATAAAAATTAATTATATTTATTAGAGTATGGCAAAATTAAAATAAAACACACATGCAGTAAGCCTCTGCAATACATGGACATTTCCCCATGATGTCCTGCTTTAAATGCTACAAGTACAGAAAAATACTAGCTCATCTGCCAGAAATCCAGTGAGCTCCTAAGTTCCTGTAGTTACCTGACAATTCTGCCTCTGTATATTACCCAAGCAGTATTGGGAATGCAGGGTGTTTGTATCATTTTGCTGTACAATCGGGAATGAAACAGAATTCTCTACATTAGTTGAAGGATAAGTCCACCTTAAAAAAAAATAATATATGCACATTTTTTTTTTCAGTTTAAACAAATGTGCATTTATTTATTAATTTTTTTACAGGCCTGTAAAGCATTGCACCCGTGATCAGCAGATCACAGGTGCAGTGTCAGACTCCTGCATACTGTGTAGCTGTTTGCACTTACCTACAATAAAAGCAGTCAGTTACTTCCGTCCAGGAAGAATCAATGAACTACGAAGATGCTCACTAGTGCCCTCGTAGTTCCTTTGTCGGTACTCGTAGTCTTAACATTCACAGAACTCTAAATGAATGACACGTCTGTGTGAGCAGAGCCCCACATGTCCATGCTCTTTTCAGATCCCCGGCCCACTATCACAGAGGGGGTTATCGAGGGCAGAGCTGCAGTACCGGGAACATGTTACATGCTCTACCCTAAAAATGCGAAGAACATGTAACATGTTCCCCAAAAGGTGAACATATTCTTTAGCCTGAAATCAAAGTTGAGAAATGAAATTGATGTGTCAGGTGCAATGCGAGTTAACTGCCAGAAACTGTATCTCAATTCCATTATTTAATTGTTCAAGTACAAAATTTCATTAGCTGTAACTATCTTGTGTATTTGTGATTTGCAGTTTAAATGAATAAATAAAAATGCTTCCAGTTGCTCTGTTCTTGGCTATGCATGTGTAAAGTAAATGATGCTACTAACATCTTTTGAAGTCATACTGGTACCGATTAGGACTGGTGATGGTAATTGAAGCTACTAACATCTTTTGAAGTCATACTGGTACCCAATAGGACTGGTGATGATGAGAATGAGAATGGCAATCTTGTGAAAAGGGACCTTTTTAAACAATCAATTGGGGATTCCTAAAAATGTTCAGAACCCATGATTCAAAGATTATATTTAATTGTTTTGTGCTGCAAAGCTACAAGTCCCACTCTTCTTAGCCGGCAGACAGAACAGTGGGTGGTTTGCTGAACATGATACAGTGTTTAGTGTAGAAAACAATAAAGAAACAGGGTACACATCTACAGGACTGTGATCGCGTGAGAGCAGGGATAGCGTGATGTTATCTACATTATTAATACATACAAATCTAGAGTTAAGACCAGTTAATGTCATTTTCAAGAAGACATTGCAATAAAGGGAAGGAAGGCATAAACACAGGGAGAAAGCGGCATGCTTGACAGATGAAAACAAAAGAGAAAAAATAAATTCTAAAACAAGCAAGTGAAAGGCAGCAAATCAGCAAGACCAAGGCAAGTCCAGGGGCTGGCTGGACCAAAAGGTAGAACCACTGAAATGGGGCTGATGTCATGTATCATCATTATATATACCTTTTACATCTCTGATCAGCAATCTGCCATGTACATATAGTGACTGTACAAGTCACACAACGAAAGACTTTTGTTTCAGATATATTAATATGTGAGGCTACAGTTTCATGGTTAGATAAATTCCAAAAGCCTAAATGTAGCAACCTAAGTCTCTAAAGTGAGGCTTTTAAATGTTTTCGCCACAGAGTTAAGAGACGCTGTCTCCAGGCCCATTCAGGGCAAAGTGACAGTGCCTCCCGAGTGCCCACTCTCTGATCAAAGTATGCTCACCAATACATGCTCCTTCACTGCCTTCCTGCTGCAAGAGTTCAACCTCGATAAGTTCCAGAGTCAGATGGCATCAAGAGCTTACCTGGGAGCATGGGGCAGTGTTAGACCTAATGACTGGCCACTTAGGCAGCAGCAATATCACATGGGCGAGGGCAGATGTTCTCCAAACCCTGAAGACCCTGCAAAGGTTCCAACTAAGCAAGAAGGCAGCAAGGGAACATGGATCAATAAATACATCTTGCTAGCAGAGTAAGTAGTCAGAAAGCACTGTCACTTTGTCATGAATGGGAAAAGTAACATTGTTTCTTAAAGTGTATCAAAAGCCAAACTCTTTGTTCCAGTAACAATGGTCTGGATACCAGGACAAACAGAAATGGTGACTTTCCCCAGTAGGGACACAAATAGCAAAGAAAAAAACCTGATGGAGGTGCAAACCAATCCTTGCCCTATATATAGGTAAAACAAAACATTTTGGCTTTGGATATACTAAAGTAAAATTATTCATCTGAACCATGGGAAGGGCTGGGAAGGGACAGCTTTCAGCTATTTTAAGAGACAACACAGTCAAAAACAGAAACTGCAACTGGTATGGAGAATCTGTATAATTTTTTTTCTTTTAAAAAACAAACATTTCCCCACAGTTCCCCATGATAGTTATCAGCCCCTTTCTAATAATAATGCTGTATTTAGATCAAGGGCCATTCTGACATTATCCTATGCCTGCCAGCCAGTCCCTGAACACAACACAATCACAGGGCCCTGGATATCAGGGTTCCGCTCATTCTCTTGGTTTTTTTTTAAGTAAAATTATCCTTTAAAAAGGAAAACCCCAGCTCATTAAGAAATGGATATAATATATATAATTGCACTGTAAGCCATTTTGTAATTCATTGCCATAATAGATTAACTTTTCACTTTAATACGTAGCCAGTCATAACTGCCAAAAAATGACAAATCCCTTTTCCTTGAAACCACTGCAATGATACTTACAGATGGCATTTCCCAGAATCCTCTCCTGCTTCTGTACATGTTTGTCTGTCTTACAAAATGTGGACAGAGCTCAAACACAAGTAATATCTCCTGTGATGTCCTCAGGTTTATTGAAAGAAATGTTTAAAGCAGATTTCCATAAAACCCAAGGGGGTTCTAGAATTCTTCCCTTGTGGCAGATGGTCCTTATTCCTGCTCCAAATGACACTTGTGTACTGACCTGTGACCATTTCAGTACAGTAGTTCTTGAAGCCAAGGTTGCAGTGATGACATTGCCCAAGAGGGTAGGTCCATGACAGTCTAGACTTAGGGGAACTGGGGTGGAGGTCGAGGTCCACCAGTTAAACCCAAATACTGGAGACATTTAGCAGAAGAAAATAAGTGCTGCGGAGGACAGCTGCAGTTCTGCTTTCAAGCAAATTAACCATTTTAAACTTTTAAAAGTCAAAGCCCTTCCCAAGTGCATTCATCACAAAGGGCTTGCAATGGCCTTGGTCATCGAAAAAAAAAAAAGTCTCTACTTCGTTTTTCAGGTCTCAACTTTCCTACCCTCATGGCAATTTTCAGCAGGAATGAAAACCACCTGCCACAAGGAAAAACCGCTCCCCAAGTCTAAGTTTTGTTCATTTAATATTGTCTTTCTAGAGAAAACACGTGCTGCACATCGGCTGGTGTGCACCGTTTCTTAACATTCAGAATGATCATGTAACTAAAGTAAAGACAGGCCTCTTCTCTGTACCATTAAGATAATTCCAGTATACTTGCTAAAGTCTTTCTATTTCAGCACCTATACAACAGAAGCAGGCTAGGAGCTGCAATTTGGTTTGACAAACCCTTTTTCTTCTTCTAAAAAAAGCTGGAGTTTCCCTTTAAAGTCTATGGCGCATGCTAGTTTAGGAACACTGCACATGCTAAGGGACCAACCAAATTATTACAGAATATTGTGGGAGAGGAGTATAGTCACTGACAGATTTCACTTTAAGCAGGATGCATTCACTGCATTTATAAATGGTAAATGATCAATTTGAGTAATTGCCTCAAAGTAAATTTTTATTGAGTTTTATTTAAAATATCTGTTGTGCTGTATCTTCATAGTCATGTTCGAATACAGCGAACTGGAACTTTCTCTAGTGGTCCGCAGAATGTCAGACAGCACAAGCACCCTACTTGTTGAATGACTATTATGAGAAAATCAATAAGAGAAGAAAGACGGCCATACATGGATTAAAATTCAGCCGGTTCAAAAAGGAACCAGACAAATTTTGATCCATGTATGGTGTGTCCCGTTCATCGAGAGGTTGATCAATCGATTGATTTTTTTTTGACTGGGCTTGCTGGAAAATTCCCAGCCAGCCGCCTGACTGAAAAAAAGCTGAGTAATGTAGCCAGCTTAGGCAACTGAAGAGTGCATAGTTATCCTAGATTAAGGTAAAATGCAAAAGGCAACTGGACCTCCTGTAGTTGTTCTGTTGCCCACCTCAAGTCCATGTTGGCCAATGAGGTTTACCCAACACAATCTGGATTGAGAGGTGCATAAAGTACAGTCGCTGGCCAGAGCAAGCCCTGGTTGCTTATTTTATAGGTCTCCAGGATCTTAGGAGCACAGGGACACTCTGGAAATAAACAAATCCTCCACAGAGGTAGAAGTAGGTGCTCTGCATTATCATCCAGTTCCGGTTTACCCTTAACATCTGGTCCATCGGTACACTTCATAGCACGCAGCACAACAAATTTGATTAGTTCTCCCTCCCCAGAAGCACATACTCACCTTTCCTTCACTTCCCTGCTGCTCTATTCAGTTGCCATGCTGGAAGGAAATACATGGAAAGAGGACCATGAGATAGCTCTGGGCTAATTACCAAGCATCAGTGCTGTTACATGGGTAGAATCTATAGCCCTGTGTAAGCTATGGCTTGAAAAGCCCATATTTTATGCAGGGAGGATCTCCGGCTCCCAGCAGCAGAATGGAGCAAAAGGAGAATAAAGCAAAAGGGAGGTGAACAGTAAAAAGAACCTGTCACTATGCCCTGCGTGGGCACTTTAACTATCACAATATCCAATATACAGATGACCACTAGAGAAAATTTAACCAAAGCACAGATCCACAGACAAAAAAAAAAAAAAATCATCCTCTCTCATAAATAAAGCAGTTACTCAAATTGTGTAATTTTTAGAAACCTACTAAAATTAGCTGTAATTCCCAAACTTTATATCTCAACTAACAACTTTTGTCTCTATAATCTAGTTTTAATAGTATTCTGTTCTGATAATGCAAGTAGACACTAAAGCTAAACTGACATGACAACTCAGCCATACCAAGCAAGCCTTTCTTTGGCTGAAAAGCAGAAATGCCTGGGGGTGGCCGCAGAACAGATAGGGATTACAGAGCCACCAATCACATGTCAGTATGTGGCACTGTGACATAAAGGTCAGTGAGAGCAAAGAATAACCTGCCCCACCCTATAGAGCAGTGAATGCACCTTGCAAAGCTTTTCTAAAGCTACAGCTGCGAGTCAGTTGAGCAGTGATGCAATGTGATTGTGTTATTTGCATCGCAAAATTAAAAAAGTAAGCAATGATGGCTTACAGAACTGTAAGCTATATGCCAAAGGCCAAACGAAATGCAACAGGAAAGAAAAAACTTATAAGAGCAATGAGTAGTAATACCTTCTTACAGATAGCTCGCAGCTTGAAAGCAGAGAAATGAAATGCAGAGTTTTCAGATCAATTTCACGCCAAGTTCCCTTCCCACAAGTCAACGTTTGGTTGGGATAAGTTAACATGAACACAGGGGCTAGGGGCCAACAAGCCTGCAGGACATACTACAATGGACTGCAGAGTACTGGATCAGTTAAAAAATGGGAGCACACTATACAATCTACCCTAAAACAAATAGAGGAGACGATTCCTACCTTCTTATTGAAAGCCCAGATTTTGTCCCATTCCATGTTCACAACGGACCTAGACGATCCCTAAAAGATAACAAAAAAAAAAAAGATGAACATTGATTCCAGATGTTCCTGTAAGCAAGCTAATCAGCTCATGGCATAAAGTGTTTTCAAATGATCATGCTACAAATTCAAAATTCACTAAGATAACGCATCAGGATAAGCATCTTAAAGAGTGAATATGAGCAAAACCAAAATTATCTGTGATGCAGTCTGTCAGTAGCCCTAAGGACTCATTTACGACAGATGCTTTATTAAAAAGCAGTTTGAGTACATAGGCAAGAAATGTTAATGTATTTCAATGAGCCTGGTTAACACCATTGTGTAGCTTTCCTGTTCATTTACAATAAAAGCAGAGCTGCATTTTTTTTGCACATGAACATACTGCAGCAACGGAAATGCCCCACGAAACGCATGTAATTCTCATGTTGAACTGCACACTGAATGTGGGGATAGTAGTGTAAAGGAGTTTTTGCATTTTTTTTTTGTTTTTTTTTAATCCACCCGTAACTTATGGCTGGTGGGAGAAGTGTGGCATGGTGGCTTGCACAAGTACTCTTGTCTGTGGCTTGTTTTTATGAGCTATTCAAGATGGAGAATTATCCTTTTTTGGCAACATATATCTTTGGTGGAGAGGTACTAAAGGAGCTGTCCATGTGTGCTGTGAGGGTCCGGTGTGCGAGATCTGGAGTAATTCCGTGTGTGCTGTCAGTGTGCCAGCGAAGCCCCTTTTCCCTGCCTGAACCCAGATGTTCGCTAAGGATCATTTGGAAATATATTCATGGGCATTATCATTGCGCTTCTGGTGAGTGCAATCGTACTACAAACCCTTATCACGGAAGTGACGTGCACAAGGTTTTACGGATCACTCTAGACTCATTATATGTTTCTTCATATCCATCTTCTTTCTGGATTCATTCATCATTTATTAACCAGTTCATCATTTAATAACCTTTTGTGAGGAACCTTTCACTATTGTCACTATTGAATAATCTATTCACATTTATTTTCGTCAACTTTGATGACACACTTTATATATGCTGTGGTCACTTTTAGCACTATTACCTTGCGCTTCACTTTGTATGCATTTATCACTTTACGAATTCAGCGCTGCATTATATATTTATTAGATATGTTCCACTTCTTGCAACAACCCTGTTCATTTTGCAGCAAAATCAAACAGCCATGTTATCACCGAGTGGAGATGGCAGTCTTAGATGGGTATGTAGTTTTTAAATGAGACTTTAAGAAAGACAAAAAGTAAAGCCAAACTCTAGCTAACACATTTTAAAAAGTTTCAGCTAAAGGTTTTAAAAAAATTATTTATCCCAACATCTGTAACTGTCATTTTGCTGAACAGCAGAGCCTATTACAGAAAGTGGTATCTACTGGCAAGATCAACAGGTAATAAAACTATATTATGAAATGGTGGAGCTCCAAGAAACTAAAAAATAACTGCTTTGTTAAGGCAGAACTAAACTCTCCTGTCCCTTACAGCCAAGGAAGCTGCCATCTTAGCCTCTTTTTGATCTGCAAGTCACCATGGCGCTGCACATATATGTTCAGTTATGGTGCCAATTATTTGATGTCTTGACGGTTTGAGCACAAACACTTATTTTCAGAATTCCTTGAATGCAACAGTTTAAGTGTTGCTTTCAAGTAAATGTAATTTGCTATTTCTCCACCTAAAATGGAAGCATTCTGTACCAACCTGGGCAGCAATGAACTGCTTCAACCCATCCACAGTCATCCCCCTTCGTAGGACACCTCGTACAGTTGGGAATCTGGGATCATCCCTAAAAGAGAAATTGGTATATTAAAGCTAAACTCCATGCAAACAATTAAACAGATTAAATACATAAGATGGAGCAGTTTTACCAGCTAAAGGATTTGTCTATCCAGTTCTGAAAGTTACACAGCCCTGCCACACAGCACAGCCCTGTCTGGGAAAGTAAGGGGGCTTGATTTTTCACCACTGCAATTTTAAATTTACTTACAGGTCTCCTCCTCACCCCCACCCTGTGAATGGATATTGACAGTTAAAGGAGATGAGCTTATCTCTGCATCACTCCACTTTCTCCTCCTATCAGCATGCTCCTTTAACTACGGATTGGAGCAAGTTCAGAAAGGACTGGAAGCATTTCGATCAGTGTGTGGCCATCAGTACTCGACAGAAGATTATCTAATCAACTATTTAATCAACTTCTGTTGCAGGAGAATGTTTGGAAAACTTTTCTCTGTCAGTGGCTGCAGTCACTGATCAGTGTATTCTGACAGCATCAGGAGCCCACTGTCAGAATACAGTGTCCCAGCAAGGGGGGTTTCCACCATCCCCTTTGTTTGTGCAGATGGAAGAATCGTATTATTGTATTCAGCTGGCTGGATAAAATAAACAAACATCTATGGCCAGTTTAAGTTCTGCTTCTCTGCTTTAATATCTCTGCTGGATTTAAGCTTTAAAGTTACCTATAACATATAGAACAATACATAAATGATATAAATATATTTGCCGCCGAAGTAGGGATTTACTTCCTAATATGGGTGCTGCATGCTACCTAGTTTTTCCCATCTATAGTCATACTAAAAGTCTGAATCCAAATGTTTATGCCATCTCCGTATTTATATTTCATTTAAAAAATAAAAACAAATATTCCAACCAAAGATAACGTGCCTAATAATAGATAACTTTTTCTTTGCTGTCTCTTTAGAAAATCCAAAGTGCTCTGGAAATTACAGGTCATATGTTAAATGTCTGAAAAAAAAGATTATATCAGCTGTGTAGACAATGTAACAAATTGTACAAAAATCAATTCATTAGTTTTCCCTTTAGCCCCAGTTCACACCAATGAGGCTTTAAAGAGGTGTGACTTTACTGTCCAACTATTCTGTGTGACTTGCTGCCACTTCAGGCGACTTCAATCATACAGCTCAATGCAAGTCACGCAAAACTTGTACAGGAACCTTTTTCAAAGTTGAAGGACTTGAGTCGCAGCTATTAGAATGGAGCCATAGACGTGCAATGGATGAGACTTGTCATGTAACTTCGAAGTGGTAAGTCATGAGAAATCGCATTGGTGTGAACCAGGTCTTAGGACGAAAGAAGGGCTGAGGATACTATATTCCAAGGGACTAGGTCTGTTATTTTTACAGTGTATCATATAGAACAGCAGAAGAACTGAAAAGGAGACTGCAAAAATAAAATATGCGTTTTTTTTTTTTATCTAAATAACTATGGTGTCAAATTATGCAGCCATTCTAGATATAAACAGTGCTTAGCAAATAGGTTTTGATGTATCCTGATTCTGACTGAATTTAGAATTTCAATTACTGATGCAAAATACAGCTTAGATGTTAACTGTTGAGGTGGTCATTCTGTCTTAATCAATAATCACCAAAATGTAGCCAAACACTAATCAGTAAGGTACTTGCACTTTACACATACCAGCCATCCACAAGGCCTTCATTGACAAACCAAGTGAGTCTTCTCTTGGACAGCACGGTGTTGTTAAGGTTCAGACGACTATACTCCCAGATGTAGGGCTTTCGGATCCCCAAAGCATTGATAATCCAGTAGAACTGTTCATCCCGATCATGATATTCAGTTGTACGAAGGGCATGTGTCACTCCCTCTACACTGTCCACTATGGGGCAGGCAAAGTCGTAAGTTGGATAGATGCTAGAAGGGAAAGCAAAGCTTATGATACATGTCAGGCTGGGTAATAAAAACAAAAAAAAACACACGGGTTAAAGTAGTAGACTTTTCTATTTACTAAAATGGCATTTTATAGGAGAGCAGGAAAAAAATGATATAATTAGAAGTGTATCTTCTAGATCAAACAGCCAACCAATAGTCATGCTGCACTTACTTGTACTTGTTCCCTGTCCGTGGATGTGGCTGGGTCTTGCAGCGGAACAGGGTGGGGTCTCGCATGCAGCCATTGTTGGAATTCATGTCAATCTTGGCCCGAAGACAGCAAGTCTGCCCGTACACTGTACCCTTCTTCATTTCCTCCCACATCTGACAGTTCTTCTCTACCGCTGGAAAGGAAAAAATGTGATAGTTTTTAAAGAAGAAGCATTGGATACTCTACAGCAAAGCTTAGGAACCGCTGATAGGCTGTAAAGATGGAGACATGAGGGGAAGCATCCTTTTTGTTCAAGAAGCCAGAAAGTCTAACTGGTCTCCAGATTTGCTGGATTCTTTTTAGAATTTTAGGACCTGAAAGAAGACAGTCAGAGCTTTGAGATCCACGATGAGCCGCATGCCTCCTTTGGATTTGGAAATGGAGAAGAAGTTGGACAGAACTGGGGCAAGGACACTTTAATCCAGAACATCAGAGAGGGCTCTGTGGAGATCTGCAAAACTCCAGTTTATGGCCCTGGGATACCAGCGCCTTAATTCAAGTGAGATGCAAACAGTTCAAACACCCACAAAGGTTAACAAATGTCCCCCAAACACTTTTTGGCAGATTTTGAGTGCTAGACCTTGCAGATGGACTGGGGAGTCAAGCTAGGAGGTCCTAACACAGAGGTCAAGTAAGTGGAGAAAGGAAAATTATGTTTCTTATTAGTCAGAGAGGGAAATGATTCCACAGTCTTTTCCTAAAGCCTGGTACACACAAGAAGTTTTTTTTTGTTCAACCCAGCAGACTGAAGGAAAAAAAAAACCTGAGATCACTATACGAACACAAACGTTGTTAGTGCAGCGATCTTCCCCGCTGTGCTATTGTGTTCAGACAGGGGGACTGCCCCTCCACCAGAACACACTGATCAACACTCACAGCCATTGGCTGCCAGCGCTGACTGGATGCTGGTTCATGAGACTGGCTTCTTTTGGACAGGCAGCTGTACACGCAAACCGATATTTGGACCCTGTGTACTTGGCTTTAGGCTTTATCCACTGAAGAATATGGGTGCTCTTGCCACCAGTAGCATCCCTGATGTTATCACAATCGGTCCAAAGAGTTATTGTCCCGAGAAAGCCATGCAGATCAAACACTTCTAAGGCAGGAGGGAAATAAGATGAAAGGCTCCCAGGAAACCATAACAACTAAAATGTATATCTACAGTCATCTACTCCACACATTCCATAGGCAAGGGATCAACCACTGCAGTTGTTCGATATCTTTTAAAGTCTAGGCTAAAAGCAAAAATTTTTTTTTTTTTAATTTTTGGACATAGTGGAGAGGGATTAGAACACCGGTTAGTTTTTATTACTGTCTGTCCCTGTTAAGAGATTTGCTGGGGGTGACTTCAACATGTCTGACATTAACTGGAATTCTCAAACTGCTATTACAAGCAGGAGCAGAGATGTAGTGGAAGCAGTAAATGGGCTTTCTCTAAAACAGTTAGTAAAAAGTCCAACCCAAGGTGATCATGTTCTAGACCTAGTACTGACAAATGGGAGAAAATTTGGGTTCTAGTGATCACCAATGTCATGAATGGTTTTGCACAGAGCAACCCCAATCCCCCTCTTCTGGGTTTCCCCCGCTGAGTGCCCCCATAGCAAGCTGCTTACTACGGGGGCACTTGTGCTCGCTCACAAACTGGCTTTGTGCGTCTATAAGACAAAGTGATTGACAGCAGCAGGAGCCAATGGCTCCCGCTGCTCTGTGAGCCAATGAGGAGTGCGAGAGACCCGGGGGAGCCTCTGCTCTCGTGTACATCGCTGGATCAAGATCAGGCTTAGGCAAATACTCGTAGGGGGGGGGGGGGTAGGGCTTGCAGAAGAGTTTTTACCTTTAGGCATGGAATGTATGAAGGTAAAAAACCTTCCGCCTTTAGAACCACTTTACCAGCATTAGTAAACATAAAAAGCAGCAGTCAACACTTGTTGTGAGATGGGAGTCCTTCTTTAACATGCATTGGTCCTTTAAATATTTGATTATGTATTAATAGTAGTTTTTTATTTTTTTGTATTGTTGAGGCATTATTAGTGTATTAGAATGTAGCTGTTAGGTTGCAAGGAATATAATATATTTTTTCTGGGCTATTTGACCTCCACACTTTATATCGTGTGGGGTATAAATTGCCGGTGTTTGGTGACTCATGTCCTTCCGCTCCGTGAGGATGTCAAGTGACGAAATGCGTACGATGGAGCCTTGGAGTGACGTCACCACGCCCAGCGAGCTGATGGCATCAGCTGACACTGAAGCTGGCTTTTTAGAATTTGTGCTGTATACGCTGTTCAAGTTAGTGTCGGCTTTGACACTACGGAATGTGAGTGTAATACATGAACTGTTTTTATTAATAAAGTACCGTACGATTTTACACTATTAGTTTCCCTCTCTCTTCCTTTATGAGTTTTATGTCAAGAAGATATTTTCACTGAATTGCCTCCCTATTGCCAGCTATCAATCTGCAGATCGTCGCTCCCAGAGCGAAAGTGTGTGTGCAGGTTTATAATTTGACTGGCATGTTGCTCTGGTGAGTTGATTTAATTCATCTGGTGGTGGATTTTTCATGGTGTTTTGCGTTTGTTTGAAATATTAACAGTTTGGAGTACTGAAGTTTAAGTTTTACACCTTTTTCTTTATTATATCGCACAGTGGAATTTGATTGATTGATTATATAAAGATTCTTTCATGTATTTTTTTTTTAATATCTAAGGACACTATTATTAGACAATTTCTTTTAAATTTAAAATTTTTGTTTTTTATTATGACACTATTATTTATTGGCTTGATGAAATAAGTTTATAGTTGCAATTAAGATTATGTTTTGGGTTTTGATACACTTTTTTCATTTTTTTGTGTATATTTTTTATTATTAATTGATGAGTTTTTTATGATTATTGATCATTTGATTAGAGCGCTACCTTTTTTCTATTGTTGTCACTTTTTTACCTTGAATGAGGGTGAGGTTTTATCTGCTTTTTCATTAAGACTTTTTGGTTAATTAGGTGTTTTTTAGTGGTGCTATCTATACCCTTTACTAATTACAAGTTAATTACAGAAACTTCTACGCCAAATATTTTGTGCACATGGTCTTTGCTGATAAAGGACTGAGCATAGTTTGGAAATCAATGGATTAAAAAGCTGACCTCCAGGCAAACAACTAAACATACAGGGGAAGTACATATCTAGGAGATTTTTTACCTGCCAAATGATTTGTATTTCTACCTGCTCACTCCTGAGAGTTACACAGCCATATCTGGCAGGACAGAACACCTGAGTTTTTTTTGCCGCAGTTTGGTAACACCTACAGGTCTTGTCCCTCCCCCCAGCCTGTGATTGGAGGGTGAAAGAAGCAGCAGACTGATGAGCTCATCTCCCAGTGTCTCTCCTCTCCTATAAGCATGCTCTTTGCTAGCACATGGGTACTACATCTCAGTCTGGGCTCTGCTGTAAAAGCAATTCCAAGAAGTCGTTAACAAAAACAAATTTAGGTACTTACACACTGTTTGCAAGTATTTGCAAACAAAAAACCCCACACCTTTAATACATGTATTAAAAACTACAGAGCCACATTAATTGAGGTCTTTTATATCTGCCTACAATTTTAAAGTGCTCATGTGACCTATAATGCATGGCTTACAGTTACTTCTGTGCTTGGACTCCGTCCTCTGTTCACGCTCTGCCTTCATCTGTTCAGCGGGAGTGTTGTCCACATAAGCCTTCCCCTCATTTATAAGCTTCTCTGCATATTGGATGATCTTCTCAAAGTGGTCAGAGGTGTATGTGAACTGGTCAGGCTTGATATGCAGCATGGAAACATCCTCCAGGATAACCTAAGCGAAAAATACTAGCGTCAACATCTATATAAATCAAAACGCTGACTTCTGCAGTATCAACTCATATTTTCTTCATTCGTTTTGACAAGAGCATTTAAGCCAAGGTTTAGGATTTGGCTGACAAATTTTCCGTGAAGTAGAATATTACTGTGATGACCACACAGAGGACAGGAGGGGGGAGTCCGCATCTCACAATTTAGATCCTCAATTTTTATAGTCAGTGTGTTCATGGATTCCTAATCCTGTCATCCCTAAGGATGCAGTCCAATTCATGCATGTGTGTTTTATTGTGCAACAAGCAGTGTCTGGGCTATGAAGTGTGCCATTATTTATTTTTTATGGCATCCCAAAACAAATGTACTTGACCCTCAGCATAAGCCAAGTGCATTTTTTGGTTTGTGAATACCTGTTTAGGGCCCATGACAAATAAATTGGCCTGTTTATCTTAAGTGGACACACAAACATTTTTTGAACAAGTGTGACAGACAACCTGTGCTGAATTCACATCTCATCTACTGGCCTATTGGGTACCCCAGTTGTGTGACCCTACCACTATGTAAATTGGTGGATGGAGGTGGTTTTAAAGCCATCCAGAGTATAATCAAGAGAGAGGAATGTGACTGTCAGAGATAGGAGGACACACTTTTTTTAATTTATTGCTTTGTATAGGTAGCATATTGCTTTAGGCTAAACCTACCTTTAACCTTGCTCTATAGTTTTAGCAAGACCCTGGTTTGGTCAGGCTCTACAACAGCAGCAAAGTTAGTTGCTGTAAGCACACTTCTGAATCTGTACAGCAGCTTCATTAGCTTTTCATAAAAATTGGTTGACAAAGGCTGAAGGTTAGGCAGATCATGGCTAACAGAGTGCTGTACATAGCCTCTTGAAATCATCACAGCACCGTGCCTCAGTAGTTCTCTCAAGAGCTCTCAGCCCAGATACAAGCAGTAGGTTGGGTCTTGGAAGGAGTTATGCATATGTCAAATGCCTTAAAGCTGAACTCTAGGAATTTAGCTACTTTGTAAAAAGTGCAGGCATACCATGAGTTAAGTCTAATGAGGTGTAAGGCACCACTTGCACTTACCTCTTTAATTTACATCTGACAGGTTTATGGAGCTGCCGGAAGATAACTTTCAGAGCTCCGACCCTGGACATTCTGGTCTCAGCTCCTTCAAGTGCACAGCCGATGCACCTGCTATGCCCCACCCTCACCTCCTCCTGCCCAATCACAGAAGTCTTTGTATTATGTGAAATCATTAAAAAAAATGCAAAGGCTTCTGTGAATGGGCAGCAAAGGGGAGGAAAGACACACATAAGTCCAGGATGTGGCATGCACCTTTTTGAACTTAACTCATAGCTTGCCTGCACATTTATCAAAGTAGCTGAATTCTTGGAATTCAGATTAAATGGGTGGAAAACAGTCTGGGATGGGTTGGGAGTTCCTAGACTGGCTACAATTGCATGCAGACGACCTTAGTTAACACTCATATGTCATGTTGAATTTCCATGAATAAAATGTACCGAAATCCACTGAAGGAAAGGGCCAGGTCAAGGACAACCAGGTTGGGGTGGAAACGGCTTGACTGGGCTTTTAGTGAACCTCTGTTTCAAATGCTGTACCATATGTCCTTTAACAAGGTGCAATGGTGTGCTATTTAAAATGAATGGAAATTCACTGCACCAATGTAACTTGGACTACTGCAACACAATAGTGTGAACAGGTCCTTAGATATTTACATAGGTGGCTTCAACTGAGGTGGCTGGAGGAACTTCATTATACATTCACTAATATGATCATTTACTGTACCTTTTCAAAGTCTTCCTTCTCTTTCTCTGGGTTGGTGTCATCAAATCGCATAATGAGTTTCCCCTTGAAGTTCACTTGGTAGTGTTGGTTGAGAAGAGCAGCTTTCGCATGTCCAATGTGCAGATACCTGCAACAAGAATGAGAAATCTGATGATAGAAGATTCTTAAAGAAGTTCAGCTTTTAGACGAAAATAATAAATGTACATTTTTTTCATGTAAAAAAAATGTGCATTTATTAATTTTGTCTGCAGGAGCCTGGAAAGCATTGCACCAGTGATCAGGTCTCCTGCATACTTGTCAGAATATCCACTTGCCGTAGGGGATGTACAAGCAAGCAGGTATTCTGACAGGAAGCTTCAATGAACTATCACGGTGCTCCATAGCGCCGTGGTAGTTCATTGAAAATTACAAGCCAACAGCCGCTAAGGCTGTAGGGACTTGCAATTCATTCATTCACAGAAGTCCGTGAATGAATGATGCAGCTGTGTGGGAGGAGACCCCGATTTCAAATTTGACAGATAGTATAGGGAGACATCTCCCCGTACTATCGGTCAGAGGGATGGTGGGTGGCAGGAGGTGGCTGCGGCTATGGGAACATGACATGTTCCACCCTAAAAACTGGTAGAACATGTAAAATGTTCCCAAAGGTGAACTTATCCTTTAAACTATAAAGTGATATTAATCCTTTTTTAAGGACTTTCAGCAGCAGATTTAATTACCGAGTATGCAGCTTCTATATCTTATCTCTTGCCTATGTCCCATTTTCAGCTGGTGCCATGACTGCCGCCCCAGGTTTCCTGTTTCAGTGTGGCTCCTTTCTCTTGCAGAATCCTATGGAGTTACCCTTGCATGCACTAGAGCTGTGTCTCCCTACACTGCATCAAGAGAAAAACTCCACCCCATGGCATGGCACTCCCCTGCTTCTCCCTTCCCATACCCTCTCCACCTCCAAGCTAACAGACTGACTGGAAAGTTCAGGGAAGAAGCGCTGAGAGAGCAGGAACTAGCAGCACTGACAAATGTAAATTGCAAATGCTGGTTTAAGAATTTAACAATTAGTTTACTGCAAGGAATGTTTATTTTAAATTACGCTTATTAGGCTTCTGAACTGCTTCAAATTGTTTGTGAGATACTTTGAATTGTATTTTAATTGCACAGAGAATTGTTTCAAGCATCATTTGCATTTATATTGAATTGGAATGAGAAAGAAAAGAAGCTCCTTAGCAAACAAACCCGTGTCCAAGTCCTATAAAGAGTAACACAACTATTTGTTGAGGACAAAAAAATGAATCTCCACTGGGAGAGCAATATATACTGCAGGGATTTTTACCACAATTTATCTTAGATTCCTACCAGTTTCTGCTCTGAAAGAAATAGGTATTTGTTAGATTATGTCTTGTGCAGTGTGGTTTTAAATGGGAGTGACTAATTCATTATAAACAGCTGAGGAAATTTCAGGGTTCTGATGAAATAAGTTAGAATGTCTGCATCACTTTGGAAGTGCTTAACACTTATGGAGTATCTCACCATAAATGACATTTTTGTTGCAGATGATGCCTAACACCTGACTTGAATCTTCATGCCGAGTTCCTTAGCCAAGCAGGAAATTACATTTCTGGAGGTGTTCTGTACACCAACTGTACACAGAATGCCTCTTGGTTGCAATATTGAATTGAATTTTACAGAAAATTACAGCAGCTGCAGTTTGAGAAGGAAAGTCATTTTTAATAACATTAAATTATTATATGGCTTGTGTAGCAATTGTATATGCTATATTTTTTGTTATTTCCTACTTTTTTTTCAACAATGTGGAGTTACTCTCTAAAGTGGTATTACACCTACAACCAAAAATGGAATATATTGCAGCTTACCAATCATTTATTATTATTATTATTACTACGAGTTTATATAGCGCCAAAGGGTTTGCTCAGCGCTGTACAATAGGGGGGGACAATACATGGCACAGTACAACAAAGACAGACAGCGTACGAGGGGTAAGAGGGCCCTACTCTTACGAGCTTACAATCTAGGAGGGAGGGGGTAAAGGTACAGTAGGAAGTGGCTGGGGGGGATGAAGTGGGTAGGAGGAATGAGGGAGGATGGCCGTTAGGTGAGGGTGGGGTAGGCTTCCCTGAAGAGATGGGTTTTGAGGGAGCGCCTGAATGTGAATAGAGAAGGCGACAGTCTGATGGATTGGGGCAGTGAGTTCCAGAGGATGGGGGAGGACCTGGAGAAGTCCTGCAGTCGTGCATGGGAGGAGGAGACCAGGGAGCAGGATAGAAGGAGGTCCTGAGAGGAGCGAAGGGTACGGGTAGGGTGGTACCTGGTGATCAGATTGGTGAGGTAGTCAGGGGCAGTGTTGTGAACGGCTTTGTAGGTCAGGGTAAGGAGTTTAAATTTGATGCGTTGGGCAATCGGGAGCCAGTGGAGGGAGAGGCAGAGGGGGGTGGCAGAGGTGGAGCGGGTGGTAAGGTGGATGAGTCTGGCAGCTGAGTTCAGGATGGTCTGGAGCGGGGAGAGCCTGCACTTGGGTAGGCCAGTGAGGAGGGAGTTGCAGTAGTCAAGGCGTGAGATGATGAGGGAGTGTACTAGAAGTTTGGTGGTGTCTGGGGTGAGGAAGGAGCGGATCTTGGCAATGTTGCGAAGATGGAGCCTGCATGTGTTTGTGAGTGATTTGACATGCGGTTGGAGGGAGAGGTTCGCGTCAAGAATGACGCCAAGGACTTTGGCTTGCGGGGCGGAAGTGATAGTGGAGTTGTTGGTGATGATGGATAGGATGGGGGGGGGGGGGGTGTGGGCAGGGGGAAAGACAAGAAGCTCGGTTTTGGAGAGGTTAATCTTGAGGAAATGTAGCGACATCCAGTCTGAGATGTCATTTAGGAGGTGAGTGATGCAGGCGGAGATAGTGGGGGTGAGGTGAGGGGTGGAGAGGTAGATTTGGGTGTCGTCAGCATAGAGGTGATAGTTGAAGCCGTGAGATTGTATGAGTTTGCCCAGGGAGGAGGTGTAGATGGAGAAGAGAAGGGGTCCAAGGACAGAGCCTTGGAGGACCCCAACAGAGAGGGGGAGGGAGGGGGAGGTGGCACCATTGTAGGTGACACTGAAGGAGCGTCGGGATAGGTAGGATGAGAACCAAGAGAGAGCAGCATCTCCGATGCCAAGGGAGAGTAGTTTATTAAGAAGGAGGGGGTGGTCAACTGTGTCGAAGGCCGCAGAGAGGTCCAGGAGAAGGAGGACAGAGTAGTCGCCCTTGGCTTTGGCGTTGAGTAGGTCGTTAGTTATTTGATATGGTGGCTGCATTAGATTTCTTTTTTAAACTTTTTTCCCTGTTTTCACCTGGTGATCTGGCCACCAACACACTGCCTGTATTATCAGGGGTATGGAAATTTTTGAAAAAAAACACTTGTCCAGGGACTAAATTGGTGTCTGAATCTACTTGTCCTGATAAAAAGAAAAAAAAAAAATCAGTTTTAACCAAAACCATATTTAAATCCAACACGCTGTTAGTAATGTCTAGGACTCTTAAAATCAAGGGGCTCTATGGCGACTTAAACGTTTACTTTTTTTTTTGATCATTGCACTGTTTATCTCCCCCCCCCCCCCCCCCCCCCTCACTGCCTCTCTCCAGCACCGCACCCAGGGACCAGTAGGGAGGGGGTTGCGGCTTGCACTGTGGTGGACTGTGTGAAAGCAATCATGCGGCAGCGCTGCCGTCCGAATGCCACCTGACAGGTTAAAGGTTGAAAACAGCTACCTGCCCGATGCCCGGAACTACATGTCCTGGGCATTGGGCGATACAAATGCAACATCCCTGATTATACTGCCCCAACTGTCGATGAAGGAGCACAGTGGCAGCGGCATTGTCAGTCGGGGGGGGGGGGGGTGTTAGATGTACTAGCAGATGTAGATACAATAACAAATTCAAGTCAAACTCCAGCTCACGCTGCAGTTACACAAGCAGTTACAGCTATTTTTGGGGTAATGTTTTACATAAATAAAAGCTGATCATTGTAAGCACCACTGTCAGTAAATGGTTTATTTCAACACTGTAACTGCTACATTTGTAGGAAAGCTTGGAAACATTCAGGAAACATTTGTACCAGAGAGGAAGGGGTTCTATACCATGTAGTAAGAAAATTGTAAGAGGATTCTTGAATGCAAGTACTAATGGAGGCAATATGCGTCAGTTAAATCATTTTCTGGATTTAAAGGGGAGTAAACTGCATCCCAGCTCTCTCTCCCACGCTCTAATATAATAGGGGGTAGAATCTGATTGCACACTCAATACAAGCTTGTACATGTGGGAAAGGAGATGTCCAGAATCTGGGAGCTTCACCCACAGTGAATCAAACAGAGATTGAGATTCTTGCAGTCCCAGATCCCATCCAAATTTAGTTAACAAAAAAATGTATTTTTAAAAATGCTGAACTATTTAACTCAGCACTGACAGGGCACTCTTTTGGTATAACAATGGGATATAAAAGATTTCTATTTTATATATTATTTTAAAAAAAATAATGTACTTTCAGAGAGTCCGTATTTTAAATTTTTACTGTATAGAAACAAACCATCTTGCTAAACCGTTAAAATATTAAAAAGATTATTTAATGTTGGGTAAAACCTAAACCTAGAGGGTCATACTCTGAGAATTTTTATGACTTCATGTGCCCCTGCTGGGTAGATTACTAAAATGTGCCAGTGTGAACAAGTGCTGTGAATACTTTCTGGATGCACTGTATATAGTGTAAAATCTGCTGCCATCACATGATTTGGAGTGAGATTTGGTGATGTCACTACTGTACTGCTCATTGCACTCTCCCTGCTTTTGCTTCATTCTCTCTGTTGATCTTCTGCTGCTTCTTGAGTATTCCCCTACCAATCAGAAGAGTGGATTTGAAATAAGGAAGCAAGGCCCAGCACTGCAGCCAAGAGAGCTGCATCCAAAAATGACACTGCAAGTCAGTACCAGCTGCACTTAGCTTACCGGCAATTCCAATGATTATTCTATTGCCCTCTGCCTGCCTAATTTTGGGCATAGCTACCACAGATCTTCATAACTGAAGAGCAGCAATAACCCTAAACGGCAACTCACTCCTTTTACAGCAGGAGTTCACTGAATGGTTCCTGCTTCTTAGGAGCTGGGAAGAAGAAAGACTTTGAAAAAGTGGCATCTGGTTGCAAAAGTAGATGAAATGAGGCCACGTGTTGGACCTACACTCAAATTACTTACCCACTGGCCTCAGGGGGGAATCTCACCACCACCTTCCCCACCTCTGCACCTGGAAGCTCAATAAACTTTCCAACATCTTGCTTCTTTTCAGCAGGCTAGGAAGAATAGGCACATAGTAACTTAGTAAGTAACATAGTAAGGAGACATCATATTGCTGGATATGTCTTTATTATGGTAGGGACAAAAAAATGTCATAAAAAAAACATTTTCCTTATTTTATTTACATTAATTAACCCCTTTGCGCCTAAGGGTAAAACAAATCTAAATGCCTAAGCACAATTTTGCAACTTTGACAAATGTTAATAAAACTGTACATATTAGCACAACTTCTGCATCCAGGTGGATTATACCTTGTGTTTTTCAGGAAAAATTGGGCTTCCATTTGGTGGTGAATGGTAATGAATATCTATTGAAATTTTTTTTATTATCAAATGAAAACTGGCCCAATATGGTAAAAAAAAAAAAAAAAAAATGTTTTAAATTTAGCTGTATATTTATTGCTACTACCATAACCTACCACCAATCGACAACTCAAAATAAATGCTCCTGCTCCAGATAATGGCAGCGATACAACATGTGTATTGTTTGTACCCATAGTACAGCCCGGAAACAATAGCGCGGTTTTTGCTTTTTTTATCTTGCCTAAAATACACTAACACTAACTGATACGGATTTACAAAAAAAAATCCTGACCAAAAAAAATCCTGACCCTGACCTTGATCCAAACATTAACCCTGGCACTGACCTAGATCAAACCTTGATCTAAGTTTTTTTTTTTCCTTACCATACACTTTTTGTTCTCTCTGAAAGGACAGAGCACAAAGACAGTTATGCAAATATGCAACCCCAGATAAAAAAGCCCAGTCCAGTGGGGCAGCATATTTGCGTACAGTCAGTGTGAAAGGGTTAAAATAAATAAATACATAGGGCATAAAATATTTTCCTATGCAGACAGCTGGTGGCGTGCACAGCACCTTTTTGTGCTTTATAGGAGCTTCCTAACACCCGTGTTTTACAAAGCCTGTTAAGAGAACTCAGTAGCTCAAGCTGAAATGTGCACACAAGTAAATGATTCAGAGCAGTGACCCCTCCTCTCCCACTCAGTATGGTTCCATCTAAAGTTTCAATCAATAATAATGATCCTGAAGGCAAATAACATATGCTCTCTCTTTAGAAAAACCCATGTTTTGAGAAATCATAGCTGTACACGGTGTTAAATATTTTTCTGTAACACAGACAGTATACATATCTTACTGTTTATGTGCATAAAGCAATCTAGGATTTAGTGTGAGTATATATTTTGATTTATTTTAGATACTTATATAGCACCGTCAATTTATGTAGCGCTTTACATATATATTGTACATTCACATAGATCCCTAACCTTCAAGGGGTGTACAATCTAAGGTCCCTAACTCACATTCATATGTGCACAAACATACTAGGGCCAATTTAGACAGGTTTCAATTAACCTACCAGCATGTCTTTGGAGTGTGGGAGAAAACCAACGCAGGTACAGGGAGAACATGCAAACTCCAGGAAGGTGGTGCAGTGGCTGGGATTCAAACCAACGACCCTAGTACTGGCAGGCGTAAGTGCGAACCATTTAGCATTGTGCTGTCCCACACGTGTAAATATTTTATTATATCTTTTCATGTGACAACACTTTGCTACAATGTAAAGTAGTGAGTGTACAGCTTGTATAACAGTGTAAATTTGCTGTCCCTTCAAAATAACTCAACACACAGCCATTAATGTCTAAACCACTGGCAACAAAGGAGAGTGCACTCCTAAGTGAAATGGGTGTGAATGGGGAGCAGGTGTGTTAAAATTTGGTGTTATCGCTCTCACTCTCTCATACTGGTCACTGGAAGTTCAACATGGCACCTCATTTCAAAGAACTCTCTGAGGATCTGAAAAAAAGAATTGTTGCTCTACATAAAGATGGCCTAGGCTATAAGAAGATTGCCAAGACCCTGAAACTGAGCTGCAGCACGGTGGCCAAGACCGTACAGCAGTTTAACAGGACAGGTTCCACTCAGAACAGGCCTTGCCATATATTTGGACACAGGCACAATTTTAGTTTTTTTCAGGTATTTACCAAAACATATTCAAGCTATAGTTATATAACTAACTTATATGGTCTGAACGTGCATACTCTCAGGTTTAATTTGAGGATATGTATATCCAAATTGGAGGAAGGGTTTAGGAATTACAGCTCTTAAGATTAGCCATCCCCCCTTTTTCTAGGGACCAAAATTAATTGGACAATTAAATCAAAAGCTGTTTCATGGCCAGGTGTGGGCTACTCCATTATTTCTACATCAATTAAGCAGATAAAAGGTCTGGAGTTTATTCTAAGTGTGGTATTTGCATTTGGAATCTATTGATGTGAACCTACATCATGCGTTCAAAGGTGCTGTCCATGAAAGTGAAACAGGCCATGGTAAGGCTTCAAAAACAAAACAAATCCATCAGAGAGATAGCATCAACATTAGGAGTGGCCACATCAACTATCTGGTACATTCTGAGGAAAGAAGAATGCACTGGTGGGCTCAGCATCACAAAAAGGCATGAATGTCCATTGAAGACAACAGTGGTGGATGGTAAACAAAAACCCATTCACAACATCCAGACAAGTGAAGGACACTCTCCAGGAGGTGGGTGTATCATTGTCAAAGTCTACAATCAAGAGAAGACTTCACGAGAGCAAATACAGAGGGTTCACCACAAGGTGCAAGCCTGAAGAATAGAAGAGCCAGATTAGATTTTGCCAATAAACATCTAAAAAAGCCAGACCAGTTCTGGAAAAACATTCTTTGGACAGATGAAACTAAGATTAATCTGTACCAGAATGACAGGAAGAAAAAAGTGTGGAGAAGGCTTGGAACAGCTCATGATCCAAAGCACACAACGTCATGTGTAAAACATGGTAGAGGTCCTGTGATGGCATGGGCATGCATGGCTTCCAGTGGCACTGGGTCATTAGTGTTTATGGATGATGTGACAGAAGACAGAAGCAGCCGGATGAATTCTGCAGTGTTTAGAGATATACTGTCAGCCCAGATTCAGCCAAATGCAGCAAAGTTGATTGGACAGCGCTTCACAGTACAGATGGACAATGATCCAAAACATACTACAAAAGCAACCCAAGAGCTTTTGAAGGAAACGAAGTGGAATATTCTGCAATAGCTGAATCAATCACCTGATTTCAACCCAACTGAGCATGCATTTCACTTGCTGAAGGCAAAACTAAAGGCAGAAAGACCCACAAACAAAACAACTGAAGACAGCTGCAATTAGAGCCTGGCAAAGCATCATAAAGGAGGAAACCCAGTCTTTGGTAATGTCCATGGGTTCCAGACTTCAGGCAGTCATTGTCAGTAAAGGATTCTCAACAAAATATTACAAATGAACATTTTATTTAAGATTATATTCATTTGTCCAATTACATTTAAGCCCCTGAAAATGGAGGGACTGTGTATAAAAATGGTTGCAGTTCCTAAAATTTGTACTTGATATTTATGTTCAACCCCATGAATTAAAGCTGAAATCTGAACTTCAAATTCATTTGGATTGTTTCGTTATAATTTATTCCGGTGGCATACTGAGCCAAAAGTATGAAAATTGTGCCTGTGTCCAAATATATATGGACCTAACTGTGTATACACACACACACACACACACACACACCTTTAGAAAGTTATATATAGTTTCCCTATAATTCAGAGAGCCACAACAATAAAGACTGACAGGAAGCAGGAGCAGTGGATTTATTGGTAATCTATTTACTTACCGCAGGCACGCTGACACTAAGCTCCCTCGGAAAGGAACACTGGGCTCCAGAAACATATACCAGCGTCGGACATTGACAGCAGCTTTGTTCTGTTTCAACTCTGCTTGCCATAAGCTGCTGACTGCACAAGAGAACAAAACACAGAGCGTGAGAAAGGGCGCTAGTAAAATTATTAGGTAAAGCAGTGTAAAGAGTGATGGAAAAATACAATAGGCTGTAACATATGCCAACCAGGGACCATACCGAAAATTATCATGATTGACATTACCTAACCATTCTCAGAACTGAATTCCCAGGTCAGGAAGGCCTGGTTTAACACTGGAGGAGGTTGCCAGCAACAAGTACTTTGTTGCTTGTGCCCTCTAGATTTGGGGATTTAATGTGATACTGGAGGTAACTGTACAGTAGAAGTAACATTTCTAAAAGTGAACTTCCGGATTTAAGAGTCCAATGTAACACTACATGGAACCAGGGAGAAATGGCCCTAGTTAGGTAAGCATTTGTCATTAAAGTATATTTAAAGCATGCCTGCATTTTAGCAGAGTGCTATGCTGTGTTGCAGTGTGAATAGGACACATAGGAAACAACGAAAGACGTTTTACAATGCGGTAAAATGTCTGTCACTGCAAATAATGTGACTTGGCCATAACAGTATTTTTACCACTGCTCACTTAGTATAATAAATTAGATTTTTTCTTGATGTGCTGATCCAGTTTGGCATTCAGAAACTGCCCAAGTGAAAGGTAGTGTAGTCAAAAGAATTCTGATCTGCTGGTCATGTGATGCCTAATGTCTCATTCTTCCCAAGTCAACCAGGAAAAGAGCTGAAGAGTAGAATCTTGCAATACCCGAGTCAAGCTAATGCCAAAGAGCTCAATTTTGGTCTCCTCTGACCACAGCACTTTCTCCCAATCCTTCTCTGAATCATTTAGATGTACATGTACCTTCTTGAGGAGGGGGACCTTGCAGGCGCTGCAGGATTTCAATCCATGGAATCCACACGCTCCTCCCGTGTAGTTCTGGGCTGATCCCTCACTATTCTCATAATCATCCTTACCCCATGAGGAAAAATCTTGCATGGAGTTCCAGACCGAAAGCGATTGATGGTTATTTTGTATTTCTTCCATTTGCGAATAATCACTCCACAGTTATCTCCTTCTCACCAAGCTTCTTGCTGATGATTCTGTAGCCCATTCCAGCCTTGTGCAGGTCTACAAGCTTGTCCCTGACATCCTTTGCCCATGATGGTGAAGTATGAAGAAAGCGATCCTGTAAATAAGTGTCTTTTATACACATAACGAGTTGTCGTAAGGAGCAGCTTCTTAAATTGCCAGGACTAATCTGTATATCACATGAGCACATAGCCTGTCTTTGAGAGCCAAAATTATTGTTGGTTGGTGGGTGTCAAATACCTATTTTACTCACTGAACTGCAACCCAATTTATAACATTTGTATCTTGTGTTTTTTCTGAATTGTTGGTTGATATTCTGTCTCTATCATTTAAAATACACCTATGATAAAAATTATAGACCCTTCATTTATTTGTAAGTGGGCAAACTGATAAAATCTGCAGGGGATCAAATAATTCTTTTCCCCACTGTATTATCAAACAGTTTTGGGAGTATATTAAATGATATATGTACAGAGCATTTTTTTTTTTTTTTTTAACACAGAGTAAGGTTCATGGCACACTGATGATACTATAGATGACAGGATCACCAAGAAGTATAGAGTAAAAACTAACCTGTCTCCACATGCCATTACCCCACTGGTTGGATGATTGAAGCATCACTCTGTTGCTTACAGAAACATACAAAATCTCATTCACCAGTGAAGGAGGTAGACTTCACTCACCCGGCTGGCAAGGGAGCAATGAATGTAAACCAGTTTCTCTCTACCATGTTTAGGAGATCCTGTCACTGGCAAATTGTCGTCAGTGTATCATGGCTCTTAAGCCAGCCACAGATGAGACGAAAACCAAATGTTCTCTTGATCAAAAAACAAAAATAGCTCATACGACTGTGCCCCATCATTTGTTGAATTTTTCTTTAAAAAAAAAAACACATTTTGGATCAGACACTTTTGATTGCAGCACAAAAATTGCATGTCACAGCTGCTGCGCTACTGATGCAAAAAAATGTTGGTTCGATGATCTACGCAAATTTCATTCGGTTTAAAACTCCTCCATGGCTGGCTTTAGTTACTTCATTTGTTTCTGTCTCCGGTGGGTGACTAACCAATGATTACTATTCCCAATAGAAAAACAGCAGGTGGCATCAGATCATTAAAGCCCATCTCCATAGAAAGGACTGCAAGGTTTTAACTGCTCGTTTAGGTCTGGGGGACCTACAAATACAGTTTTACTTATCCGATTCCTCGGTTTCCCCAGCAGCCAGAGCTCTCCTCTACTTCTTGTATGGCAATGGAATGTCTCTCGGCATCCTCACTTCCAATACAGGGCTAGGGACTCTGCATCCTATTTGATGACCCCCGAGTACTTATGACTGCCACAGCATAGGGGAGAATAGGGTGCAGGGACTGGACTAACAGCCTGAAGGGAGACCATCTGGGATCGGTAAAAAACTCCTTTCATAGTCCCCTAGACATAAATGAGCATTTAACCCTTGCAGTGTTGGGGCAGCCCCACTGCAAGGGGAAATTACTACTTTCCCCAGAGTTCAGCTTTAAACATTTACCCATTCCCTAAAACACATTATGGTGTCCTGGTACCTGCCAAGGTGGAATAGACGCTGATGTCAGCAAGTGTCAGGGAGTGCCCTACTAAGTAGGTCCGGAGGGAGAGGCAGTGGTTTAGTTCTTGCAGGGCAGCAGGGAAGCTGGATTTGTCCTGAAGCCGGGTCTGGCTGAACTCCATCCAGTGGTTGACCTAAAAGAGAGGACCAATGTTCAGCCTTTAATATGTAAGCTCCACAAGCAGGGCCTTCCTATTCCCTCTGTATTGTTGTTGTACTATCTCCCTTTATATTGTAAAGCACTGCACAAACAGTTGGCACTATATAAATCTATAAAAATGTATTATTATAATAATATAGTGCAGATTCCCAATCCGTGATGAAAAGTTTTTTTGTGTTAATTACAGACCTTGCATCTCTTTTTTTTAGGCTACCCATAGAGAACTGGAGGTCTACAAATCAGTAGAGAGGACAATTGCCATCTTCTTTCCATTGTATTAATGACATTTTGAGGTCTCAAGAAAATCAAATTATGGAACATAAACAGCTTAAGTGTTTCCTGTACCTTTTTGTACATTTTTGTAATTAAGAGACAACACTGCATGTGCATTTTGCATACGATTTTAGGATCATAATCAGTACTTTTAAAAAAAAAAAAAAAGTTGTATTTTTTTTTTTTTTTTTTTTTTTTTTAAAAACGATTGCTTGTACAAAAGGATTTTTATTAATCTGTTGAGCACTGTATTATGTCTATGGCTAGCCATAGATCAAGATTCAAGATCAGAGACTACACCAACTGGCGAGAGCTGGTATCAAAATGTTCACTGCCCACACATTGACCATTTAGCTTCTACTACTAACAAGAAGGGCCTTATCTCCTCTTTATATCAATCTCTTTTTTGAGTAGCCTGCAGGCCTCCCTGAGAGTACCGGCTAGACATGGCTGGTCTTTAGATATCCCTACGTTAGATGGAGAGCATTGGAATTCGATCCTAGAACAGGTCCCCTTGATATCTGTTTCTCCTACACAGAGACTATCTCAATTTTTCCTTATACATAGAGCTTATAGAACTCCTCACAAGCTGTTTAAATGGCACCGCAGAGAAACCCCAAACTGCCATAACTGTGGGGAGGCTCCGGCAGACAATCTGCATATGTTTTGGAAATGTCCCCAACTAGTACGATACTGGAGTATTGTGCTTGATACCATCAACCGGGTCATTCAAGTGATGCTACCTAATGATCCCACTACATGCATACTAGGGTTTCTGGACAAGGAATCATATACTCCTCAGGTCAGAACCACTATAACTAGGCTTCTGTGTTTGGCACGTAAATGCATTTTGTTGAAGTGGCATGCATCTGTACCCCCTACATTTGAAAAGTGGCGGACAAATGTTAATTCTACCTTGTTGAAAGAGAAAAATTATGAGAGAGAGGGACTCCCTCTAAATTCGATAATATTTGGCTTCAGACTCCAGGTTTGCCCCCTTTATCTCTTGTATCTCTGAGTATATTACAATGTTAACTGATCCAAGCTGGGAGATATTTGGGTATCATAATATCAGTCTCTTACGGCACCACTAGTGTTAGAGGGCCCCGAAATGTTGCAGACATAAACTAAGCACCTTACCTATGGGCAAGACATGATATGGGTTACCGAACTGTCATTTTTTGAGCTATGTCACAATTATTTGTTGTATATTTTGCCTCACTATAGGAATAAGCAACCTAGGTTAGAAAGGTACTGTGATTGTAACATGTTTTATTGCTCTATGATACCAGGGAGTACTGTTTTGATACTGTTTCTAACTTTGATCAGACTATATCTATGTGTAAATAAAGATATTAATGTCTTATGTGGGGAATGTACAGCCAGTGTGTGGGCTGTTCCATTTGGTTTGGTTTTTTGAATTGTAAATTACTGAAAACTTTAATAAAAAATATTTGGGAAAAAAAACGTTCACTGTATCCTTTAGTGTTGAGGAGGTCATCAGGAGGAATCATTAATGGTTATGGGGGACTCAGGAGATGGACACCCCTGGAAGGTTCTGTTTTGCAGTGGACGTGAACATTTCTCACAAAGGAAGCAGCATTCTGGCAGGACAGGATAAACAATATTTACAGTCTTCTTTAACAGGTATATCTCTTATTGGCAGTTTCTGCTTTGATGACAGGATCACTTTACCGCAAGCTCAATGCTTGTTCTTTGTATGCCAGCACTTTCATCACAACTTCATAAAACAAAGGGTTTATTCTCTCATTAAGGGATAGTGATTGGAGCTATCCCCAAATCATTCTTTTATATCTCTGTAGTCAACTGTACATCCAGTGTAACAGATTTTGAATAGAAAGTTTTAGTGGTTCTAAAGTCAAAAGGTTTTTTACCTTAAAGTGATGTTAAAGGCTGTTTTATTTTTTGTTTGTTTAAAAATAACAAATATGTCAAACTTACCTGCTTTGTGCAGTGGTTTTGTACAGAGCAGCCAGCTTGCTGTGGGAGCACCCGAGCAGCATTGCTCCTGAGCTGCTGCTGTGCATGTCCATTCTCCTTATTGGCTCCACACCAAGTGTCTATGGATGCACACAGCCTGGCTCAGGAGTGAGCATGCATGTGTGCCACTATAGGAAGGGGTTTCCTATGGTGGCACATGGAAAAGTGGAGGAGAAACAGCACCGGCTGGGGAACCCAGAAGAGAAAGTAAGGGGCAGCTCTGTGCAAAACCCTTGCACAGAGTAGGTAAGTATGACATGTTTAATATTTTATAAAAAAAAAAAAAACGATTTTACAGCCACATTAATACAGTTATAAAATATACTTAAAAAGAAACAGTAATGACATGACTAATGGAAGAATATGAACATTTAGAACTAAATTATCATAACAGTGCAGGCTTACCTAAAGCCTCTTTATCTAGTTTAACTTACCCTGTCTGTGTCTAAGGCCTTATTCACATTGGCATTGAAAGCAGGAGTTTGAGGGGTGTTTTTAATGCTCCTAAAACTCCTACGCAAATGATATGGACAGCAGTGCTGTTCAGGTTATCAAAACATGTAGTGCAAGCGTCCCGCCTCTTGGCTTCAAAATTGAAGATTCATGTGGAGTTTGAAGGATTTGAAGCCTTTAAGCGCCTTACATTCAAGTCTAAGGTAACACATTATAATTATTATTATAATACAGGATTTATATAGCATCAACAGTTTGCTCAGCGCTTTACAATATAACGAGAGACAATACAGTTCAATACCAGAGGGATATAGGAGGGCCCTGCTGCTCGGAGCTTACAATCTAGGACACATGCCAGCGCATTTGCGGTGCGTTAATAGCGGTACAGTTTACCGTAAAAAAAAAATAGGTGTTTGTGGTGCGGTTTTAATGCGTATCAAATGTGCCAAAAATACACATAGGGCATTTGGGGGAGTGTTTTCAATGTGTGTTAAATGCAAGACAAATGCACCTATTAATGCGCATTAATGCTATATGTGCGTTTGTTAAGAGTCAGCATTTTGAGTCAAGTGTGAACAAGTCCTAACACTTTAGCCTGAGTTGTTGGTGAAGATTCACCTGAAGTCTGACTGTCACTGCTTTGTCAACTGCCTGACCTGGGAGAAAGTGAGGTCAGACAGTTGAAAATGAAGCATTTTCAGACTTTGGGCAATCTTCTGCCAGACTAAACGAGACAGATACAGGAAACGTAAATACAGATAAATAAGGTAGCAAATGTAAAATATCTCATAGGAAAGCAAAACAATAACTTATAAAGACACTATCACCTTGCCCAAGCTCCTTGCCAGTGCTTTTACACCACTCCTGCCCCCTGACATTGTCATCGACAGCGAGGGAAACAGGGGCAATGGGAAGCGTTGGCAAGGTGAGCATCAAAGGTTCAGGTGGGGAGGGAGGTAGACTTTACAAAGACACTGTCAATTTACCCTGAATTGGTAAAGGCGGCAGTGTCTCTTTAAACTGTTACTCAGATTTTGCTCAAGGACAGTTGTGACTGGTTTTACTTTCTTGCCATCATAGATGAATAATAAAAAAAAAAAAGAATCAAGTTACTTAGAGCAGGATAAACCTGCCAAGAGCCTCCCAGCAGCTGAGCAGACGTGGCAGAACAGCTGTGCTCTCAAAGTAGCATCTCCTGAATACAGACAGAGCTATCAGTCAGGCTCAGCACAGCACGACTCTGGTGTTCCAGTGATCTTCCCCCAATGGAACTTCAATGTACAAAGTTGTATGAGTTGTTTTATATATAGTTTGTTTTACAACATGTTCATTTTTGCATAATACAGTTCAATTCACAAAATCAAATATCACATTGGTATGGAACTGTTAATTCTCTGGATGGAAAAAACATTTAACATGACCATTGTTATGGGAACTGAAAAAGAGGCGAAATCCAAAGTTTTGGGCTGTCGCCAGAACAGGAATAGAGATGAAATTTTAAAATGGTGATGCCTAAAGCTGGCCATCCATGTACAGATTTCTTTTGTTCAGTCCGTGGGTTGAACAACAGAAAAATAATAGATCCCTCCAACCATGGAAAACAGCGTGAATGAAGGAATCTCCCCTGCCGGCTATCATATTCTGACAGCTTGTACCCCTGGCTGTCACAATACAAGAACAGTAACTGTGGTGTATTGGATACAGTCACTGTTCCACCAACAATTCTGCACCTGACTCAAATGAAAAATCAACTTCACGAAAGGGCTGATACAGCAAGAATTGGCCAAAATTTGAGCAGTTTATGACCACGCCCTGATGTGACTTTAAAAACAAAAAAAATTATAATAATATGCAGCTATGGGACAGGAAGTGAGAGAAAAACTCAACATAGGGACACAGTTGGATTTCTTCAAATTATAAAAATAAAAATAGTTTGGGCTTTGGATATACCATTAAAGAGTAAACTGCAGGTCCATTCTCTAAAGATACAAGAGTCATTATAATGGCAATTTTTCATTTACCCCAAGAGGATTTTCTTATTAAAATTGATAATGTAAGTATCACACAGGTGAGGAATTGGTGTTTTCAACATGAAATGGACATTTAACTTTTTAGAGCTTCTATTTCTCATGAATTTGTATTTTACCTCTTTTTTTTTTAAAACGTAAACTCTTTTTTTTGAATAGAGAAAGGTTAAAATCCCTATTAGGTTGTTCGTTTTTGTTTTTTTTTACTGTATCCAGCTTGCAAGATTCCCCTCCATTGCCGTAGATGAAAAAGAAAAGGAGAAGAAAACAGTCTAAAGCAAACAGAATTTCAGTCTTAGAGAGTTGTCATAGAATAAGAAGTCCCAGTTGGATTTTGCCTCAGTTGCTGCCACCGTGACAAATCTAAAATTTGGATTTACTAAAATTCTTTTCCAATGAGACAACATTATTAAGTCAAGAAAGGTGAATATCCCCAGCAGGGGCACAGACAGAAATAAAAACCCATCAGGTGTTTTCATTCTTCTCCACTCTGTCAAAAATTTTTTTACTAGAACCTTTTCCTGCTTTCCTAAATGCCCTTTGTTGCAGCCTCCACCACACTATCTGCATTTGACACTCCTGGGAATACTTAATACTTGCAATCCACATTGCAGCAACCAACTGTGGTTCTATTCTCCGACCCCTACGTTATTGCTCCAACCTGAATGGATGTAGGGGGTTGGAGAAATGAACCACAGTGTGCAGTGGGGGACACAGTCATCTGACACTCTTAGACGTGTGCAATGCTGAAGAAACTGGTGCAGGCCGTAGCGCTGGAACAGAGAGGAGGTTGGAGGCACAGGTCCTCAAAGGAGAGTACGCTACCTCTTCTTCTGCAGGAGTGTAATTTCAATATGCTTCGGACCACACTGCTCTATTTAACCATTAGCCGCCCGGCCTATAGCCGTTTGGCGGCCGCAAAAATGCTTCAGCTATCCGGGTGCACGCCATTTGGCGTGCTCCCACACATGCGCAGTTCGCGCGGTTGCAGAGCCGTGCAGCGGTGCGATCTGTCACCGGCCGTGTACCTTGGACACGGCTGATGACAGATCTGAGTACCAGCCCCCGTTGCCGGTACTGTGTGACCTGCTGTGACCAATCACAGTAGGTCACATGAGAGTTGTATACAATGGATGGCTTCATTCATGCCATCCATTATATACTAGTGCCTAGCTGTGAATGGTCACAGCAGGTCACATGCACATCATGTGATTAGCTGTGGCCAAATCACAGCTAAGCACAAAAAAAAAAAAAAAAAAAAAAAAACCTGAATGAATCGATTTCATTCAGGTAAATGCTTGCTTATAGCAAAGTAATTCTTTGCTATAAGCAAATTGTGTAAAAAAAAAAAAAAAAAAAAAAATACTGATCACTTCTTACTATGGTAACATTGTACTACTTTGGTCATAGTAAAATATGGAAAAAAAAATTAAAAATTAAAAATAATAAAAAAATATATATTTTTTTTTTTTCATACTGTCACCAGTCAGTGTCCCTGTTCACCGCCATGCCAGTTATATGATGACGCTGTACTGCACTGGTGACAGTGTGTAAAAAAAAAAAAATAGTGAAAATAATTTTTTTTATTTTTTCATTTTTCGAAAAATGACAAAAAAAAATACAACTTCAAAAAACTTGCCATTTCTCTTATGAAGTACGTCGGACTGTCTACTCTGCAAAAAGGGGTCATTTGGGGATATCTGCACTATTCTGACATTCTTGGACCTCAAGAAATTAGATTGGCTGTCAGTACTTCAGGATTGATCAATTTTCAGATCTATACCATAGTTTGTGAACTCTATAACTTTCCTACAAACTAAATAATACATCCTAATTTGGGTTATTTTCACCAAAGACATGTAGCAGAATACATATCGGCCTAAATTTATGAACAATTATTTATTTGTAAACTTTTATAACAGAAAAAAAGAAAAACGTGGTTTTTTTTTTCAAAATTTTTGGTCTTTTTTTGTTAATTTAGCAAAAAATAAAAACCCCAGCGGTGATTAAATACCACCAAAAGAAAGCTCTAGTTGTGTGAAGTAAATGATAAAATTTTAGTTTGGGTATAATGTTGTATGACCGCGCAATTGTCATTCAAATTGTGAGAGCGCTGAAACCTGAAAACTGGCCTGGGCAGGAAGGTATAAAATTGCCCGGTACTGAAATGGTTAAATAAAAGAGACTTCAGTTCCTCACTACAACCAATCAGTTTATATGGTACACATACAATACATATGGTCGTCTGACTACCTCTTTTGAAAAACTTCTTGTCTTTTCTCTCTTTCAGTTTTCATAAAACAAAGTAGTTTACCTTCCAAAATAAACCTATAAAGATGCCCGGAGGCCCATAAACATGTCATGTGACCATTGCTCATACTCTTCTCATACCTCTGTCTGCTCCATCAGATTTGAGCCGTATAATCCAGCTTCTGGAGCAAGTCGAGCCAGGTACCGGACAATGGAGTTCACATCATTGAAAGTTACTCTGCAAGAGAGAAAAAAAGCCAAGATATTTTAGACCACCTCCACCCAAAATAGTTAATACAATTTTGCATGGCTGCAGAAACATTGGATTAGGTGCTGGTTTATTTAATTTCCAGAATTTCTATTCACTAGTCACTATTAAATTACAGTGTCCAACGGCATCCTACAGATAATCAATAAATTAACAGTGTATGACCACTTACTCATCATGGCAATGTGGACAAAACCAAAATCTCAGCACTGGAGTCTGAGATCTATAAGATGACAGCAAAACATTAATTGACAATCCATCACCCTCAATGAAAACTGACTACACCACTGCAGATAGATCAGATCATCTTTTATTCAGATTATGCATCAAAAACCAGAAGTAAATGTTGGTTGTTCACAAAAACAATTTTCTAGCAATATCAACCATTTTCAGCCATCTTTGGATCATCTGCGGCACGGGGTCTCCTTTCTCTTCACCTGTTTTGTAGAGGGAGGATCCTCAATGATCTGTAGAGAAGTGATAACATTGGCACAGCTCTCTGTATCATTACTGTCCCAGGAGCCATGCTGACACTCCCTCAGAAGCTCTGTACTGACAGTATGTTCTCAGTCTTCTGCTGGGCCTACAAGACTAAAGAAATCTTGTGGAAAGAGAATTACTGCAGGTGGTGGTTCTGGAATAAAGTAGAGGACTGCAGCAAAATTTTTTTTATTTTCTTATAATCACTACTGCTGTAGGATATTTAAAAAAATGCCTGCTGCTGTGCTTTAATTAAATTGTATAATTATTCCAGCTTTCTTGGTTCCATTCTTGCAGGAAAAGTATAAAGCATAGGCTACAGCGGTAGTTAAAGTGAACATAAAAGGAATTTTTTAAGTTGCCTTACCTGCTCTGTGTAATGGGTTTGCACAGAGCAGCCCCCATCCTCATCTACAGGGGTTCCCCGCCAGTGCTCCTAACTCCTCCCCTCTTCTGAGTGTCCCCATAGCAAGCCGCTTGCTATGGGGGCATTCGTGCAGGCTTGCCCCTGAACCACACTTTGTGTGTCAATTGGCACACAGAGCGTGGGCTTGGACCCACCCCCTGCTCCCTCCTCACAGGCTTGACAGCAGCAGGAGCTACTGAGGAGAGAAAGAGACAGAGACCAGCGATGCTGCTCTCGGGCACAATGATCGAGATTGGCTCAAGTAAAAACTTGTCACAAGAGGTTCATGCTGATAGCAGAGGAACAGAGCTGCAGACTGAAATGACACTTAATGCTCTTATATAAGACAAGTACACACTATAGAGGGATATGCTTTGTTCATATTTCAAAAAAAGTTCTACCTTTACAACCACTTTGATATCAAAAGTAGTTGACACAGGCCTCAGAGGCTAATGAATACAATTGTGGAAGGGGGCAGAGGTCGTTCTAAAATCTCATTTAAGTGTGTAAAAAAAAGTGGAGCTTGCCCACCCGTAAGCAGCCCCTGGACCATTATCAGCCAGAATGTTTTGCACTTTCCCAGCAGGCATGTCTGGCAAAATGTACATCTGTTGCATCATCAGAAATGAAAAGAAGTCACAGGTAACTCTCACCATGCTACAGCAAACAAGAACTTGAGGGCATTCAGTTCAACTGATGCTTACGGGAAGCATACAATGGGTGCGAGGATTGTGCACCAGGGCTTGTGTCCTTTCTCCCGTCACACATGATCAACAGCAGGTACCAACAATTAAGATCAAGAAAAATAACAGGGACATTCATAATGCCAAAGAGCAGATATTCACCCTGACTCTTGCAGGACAGTCTCCTTCCCATCCTCCACATGGATCTCTACTTTTCCTTTAAGATGGTCCACAATCCATAGTACCGCTGAAAGAAGAGAACACAACAGCATTACAAAAACTATCAAGGACTACTAACATTTCCGTTACAAAAAAAAAAAAAAAAATAATCATACAACCATTGCATTTTAGGCTGCTATTTGTTTTTGGAAAACACTTTATCACATTTATATAATCCCTGACATAATCCCCAGACCTTTACAAAGAACAATAAAGTCCAATTCCAGCCACTGTGTTTTTTTTTTTTTTTATATTTAGTTTTGAATAGATCGTTCAAGTGTTGAAACTGTCATCGGTACAGAAAGAGATGGGTAATCCCAAAACTATTTTCACCAGAAAAGGCATAGAATGGAAATCATTCAATGGGGATCCCCCCATACTGATGACAACTCAACATTTTCCTTCACTCTGGATAGATATCTTCTCACTTCCTATTGTTTCCCAATAACAGGAAGTGACAGGAATTTGCCCTATCCACACAAAGAAGGAGAACAAAAAGTCTTTAACCATTGTGGACTCATACACAGCACATAGGCCGCAATGTGGTCCATCTGGATTACTCTTTGGGCTCAACCACTGACTGGGTGATTGACTGCCTGTGCATGAATAAGGTAAGAACTTCTGTCAGGTTTTTATTGCCACGTATCATTATTGAGATTCACTTTCTCTTTGAAAAAATTTAACATTTTGGGTTGTTACCAGAACAGGAACAGAGGGGAAGTCTTCTAATGGGGACATTTGTTCTAGTGTGTAATATCTCTATTTCCTAAATAAATAAAAAATGTCTCCTGCGCCGCTAGGAATACTAATACTACTAAGCAGCCAGCACTAAAGGTGCCACAACCTCAACACCAAATGTAATCAACAAAAAATGTATATAAAACAGTGCGGCGCTCAAACAGTGGATATAAAAGCACAATTAGATATACATAAACTTATACCATTACTTGTGCCACCTTATTATTATATAGCCCAGACAACCATAAACACATATATAGAATACAGGCTGGTGATATTACACACTCAGACAAGGGTCACATGCACTATAGTGACTTCAACACAATTTGGTGAATAGTGTCCATGTGCATATTTAAATTTCATGCGGATGTGAACTGCAAGTGCCAATCCTCAATAGGTGGAGTGCCCCCTCACCTTCCTGCCCAGGCCCCTAAGGACCAATGAGCCTTTTATTATATAATGGGTATCTCTCCTGGAGTTGGATGGATCCTTCAGGTGATGATGGTGGGACTCCCCTCCTCTTGTCTCTATCATGGATCGTTGGTAGTATAGGTATATGCCCCTCCAGAGTAGTCACCAGTAAGGCAAGAGAGGCTTACATAGTGTAAAACCGCTTTATTGAGCAAATAATTTAAAAAGGAACAAGATCCTACTCACATACTCCTTCAGTATAAACAGGCCGTCACACCACTCAAAGGGTGTACTGCATTCAGGAAAAAAGGAGCACCAAGATGGCGCCCACGCCAGATATGACGTCAGGTCGTCAGTCGCTTAAGCTCCTCCCACTGGCGTATCTACGTGTTACGTCACTTTGGTCACGTGACTTCATCAGGATCTGATTGTGCTTTTATATCCACTGTTTGAGCGCCGTACTATTTTATATATATCTCTATTTCTTATCACTTCCTATTGTGTCTAGAGAACAGGAAGTTGGATGGAATATCACCCCAATAGGACACAGATGGCAAAAAAAAAAAAAAAATGAGAGGCGTTTTGCAGCTGAACTCCAGAATAATCAATTGCCATCTAAATAAAAGCACAATGCATATTTTTACTTGCATCTTGGTGAGCTTTGTCTATTGCTTCCAGAACTGTGCAGTGATCCAGCGTGAAACTTTCCCTCTGTGCAGGAGCCTCCTTGTAATGAAGACCGGTAACTGCTGCTCTCTCTCTTTGTGCAGGGTGACTGGTCCTGCCTCCGCCCCTCCTGTAGTTTTCAGCAGACAGCCTGTAGTGGGTGGAGCGTGCTGGGTCCCTCCCACAGCTCCACTTTCTGCACAGTGATGATGTAATCACTACATTTATATGGTAATAACTGGGTATTAGGTAAACAAAAATGAATTTATATTCTTAGTGGCTACTGAGGAATATATTTAGGATTAAAGCTTTTGTGGTCAGAGTTCAGCGATAACTATTACCTACTATATCCGAAATGAAGCAAAAAGTTTGGCTTTAGACATTTACTTTAAAAGCAGTAGTAATGTCTCTATCAGACACTAAAATAATGGGCCACCCTGCAGGTTTAAGCCATAATGTACTAGTATGCACTGCATACTAGTACAGTAAGAGAGACTTAGTTACAAAACAGAGACCTCCAATGCTGGGCTGTCGCGGCTCCCAAAGAGTACTGGGCACTTTCATGTTAACCCGGTCCTACTTCCAGGTTCTGAATCTTCGACCACTCGATTGGCCAGGCTGCGGTGACATCACTCCAGAGCATGAGCACAGAGCACGCAGGGAGGGCCGTAAATGCAGTCTGAGCTGTGCATGCGTGGCTCAGATCGCATTATCCGCTGACAGGCGGAGGGGGGCGACATTTATAACAGAAGCGACTTCTACTACCACTTTAAAAGTCAATCTTTCTTGCATGCTATTCAAATATATGGTTAGGTTATGGTTGTTTTTTACTATTTCAATACATTTACTTTCTTTATAATTATTTCATATTTTATTAGTTTATGTACACAGATAACTCCTTCTACTATGAACTTTTTCTTTCAATACAAAACAGGTTCTTCCAGTGCAAATTTTCTATCTCTTGTGGAATGTTAGATCAAGAGGTCACATTTTTTTTTTCGCACACACCCAGTTTTTCCTTCTACAAAAATTCCAGTTCATCACAAAAAGTTCAAATAAAACAACTCTCTCACTTAAAAAAAAAAACGAAAACTAAAACTAGCCAGCCTGTAAAAGAAGTTTTAGTGTCCTAACTGACAAACCTGTTCCCTGTTGATCTGTGGTATCACCAGCTGACCACTAAAGCTGTATATGGACATAGAAGGGACATAGCAAATGGCTGGTAAAAGCACAGCGTGGGACAACAGCAGGGAACACACATATCCAACAACCTATTGGGTGTGTTGGCTGCTTCACAACAGCATACTTACACATTTTGGCAAATGCTGGCCACCACCCACCACAATTTACTTCCACTTAAAAAAACAAGAAAACTGGAATCCGTGTACGGATAAAGAAGAGTATCAAGTCTAATCATGTTTGTGGATTATGTTGCATTATATTTTATATTAAAAATGTATATTTGTAAAAAAAAAAAAAAAAAAAAAGAAAACCTGTCACTTTGCTCAGATAGGGAGAAGTTGCTAAATTTCTTTAAATGCCTGCATGTACCTATCAATTTGTATTGCAACCCCATAACCTGGGGCACTCATATACAGATCTCACCTTGCTCAGTTAGCCTGCCCCCACCACAACTCCTGATTGGACAATGATGCCGCACTTTACACCAGCCCTCAAATTTGCCAAGAAAGGTAATACTTAGTGATATTAAAGGTTCTTCTTTTTTTTTTTTAAATAACAAACGTGTTGTACTTACCTGCTCTGTGCAATAATTTTCCACAGAGCAGCCCAGATCCTCCTCTTCTCGGGTCTCCCAGCAGAGCTCCTGGCTCCTCCCTCCTGCCTAGTGCACCCGAGCAGGCTCGCTCCCAGCCGCTGCTGCTTGGAGTTTCCATTCACACATGGAGTGCGGCTCAGCTCTGCCCCTGCTCTCTCCTCATTGGTTCACTGGCTGTGATTGACACTGGCTCCTGCTACTGTCTTAGCCAGTGAAGGAGGAAGAGACCAGGGAGAGCAGAAGCTCTCATGCACATCACTGGATTGAGAGGGGCTTGGGTAAGTATTGGGGGGCTGTTGCACACAACTTTTTTACCTTCATGTATAGAATGAGTGAAGGTAAAAAACCATGAGCTTTTATAGTAGTTGTAAAGTTAAGTAACACATTTTACAATACTGAATAGATAAACGTGAACATTTCATAGATCTGCCTTTCTATTTGTAAAATAACTTGCCTAGATATCCTAGGTATCCTTGAAAACTGCAGGCCACATGATCACTTATCATTCCTGAGTGATTTACAGACCTTCAGATGGGCATATCTACATCAGGGTATCACGTTATTAAAAAAAAGTGATGTTTTGCCACTGAGCATCTGCATTTTCCAAGGTGTTGAAAATCAGACCTGGCGGCATTACGTCACACCCTCTTTCCCTGTAAGTTCAATCGCTAAAAGAGGGGTGAGGGACAAGCGGGGTGGGGGGGGGGGGCACGGCTTTAAAATGACCATGGAAAATACAGGCACGCTAATGCGATTGCACAGTGCGCCTATATATCCATAGAAGATGATGAGGACGAAAACTGACCACACTAGCAAGAATCGGCTTCCATGCTGGTGTGGTCAGTTTACTACCAGGAAGGGGGGAACTGGCAGGATCAACCAGGTAATCTAGAAACAGGCAAAAGGACAAATACACTATGAATCTAAGAAAGCACATAATAACACATTAAAAAGACAGATACAGTTGTGCTCAAAGTTTGCATACCCTGGCAGAAATTGTGAAATTTTGGCATTTATATTGAAAATATGACTGATCATGCCAAAAAAACTGTCTTTTTATAAGGATAATGATCATATGAAGCCATTTATTATCACATAGGCATTTGGCTTCTTTTTAAATCTGAATAACAGAAATCACTCAAATGGCCTTGATCAAAAGTTTAAATACCCTGGAATGTTTGGACACACAAGGTGACACACACACAGGTTAAAATGGAAATGAAAGGTTAAATTCCCAGATCTGTGACTTTGTAAATTGCAATTAGTGTCTGTGTATAAATAGTCAATGAGTTTGTTAGTTCTCACGTGCATGCACTGAGCAGGCAAGATACTGAGCCATGGGGAGCAGAAAAAAAACTGTCAAAAGACCTGCATAACAAGATAATGGAACTTTATAAAGATGGAAAAGGATATGATAAGACATCCAAAGCCTCGAA